TGGCAAATCTGGGTTCTCTACAACTTACTACTTAAGCAAGTAATTTTCACAACGATTTTAAAAGCCTGCCAAGTGCTGGTAACATATAAGTACTTATTGTAGGAAAGCATTAGAATTTTATTAAGGGACCAAAAGCACAAAATAAGATTGCAATTTGTCATCAGAGAACTCCTCCTCTGTTTCAGTACTTTCAGGCTTTTTAAAAGTCATAAAGGTGGGGAAAAAAAGAAGTCAGTTGTAAACAGTAGAAACAAGTGGTTCCATTTTCTGTATTCTGAAGGAAATTAACTTACCACAAAATTAAGCTCTATGAGCTGATCCTCCGTTTTAAAATGCTTTTAATTGTTAATTAGCTCTTACACAGATCTTTTCATTCCCAATGTATTTTTTAAAGTGGAGAAAAGGACTTCAAAGATACGCAGTGAACCTCAGTCACTGTGAATACAACGTATCACGTAACATCCCTACGTAGACTATTATAAGAATAAAGCAGCCTTAGACCACTCTATCTTGATCCTTATTAACATCTGATATATTGAAGATCTCAGAGCAGTGTTGATGCTCCCATGCCCTGTTGTCCCACTGTAGCTCACGCATATTTACCTAACAATTTTAATTGACTTCCACTGATATTCCTGAGTGTCACGGCCAAGACATAACACAAGTATCACTATATCTGTATTTTAAACTGGGGAAATTAAGTCATAGCAAAGTAAAGAAATTGTGTGTGGCACTCCTACAACTGCAAACTAATGCAACTATACATTTAATCCTTCAAATAATCTAAGATAACCGTTCTGAATCATAAACTTCGGTCTGATCATTAAATAATTTTATTAGGCACAATTTTCAAAGGCATTTGACAAACATAGTGATTGTTAATTAGAGTACAAAACCTAAACAGCACCTTGTTTTCCTGCCTGTCACTTCTTATTGTGTAAATCACTTTGCTCTACAAGTACCTTATAAAAGCAAAAGTTAAGAACTTAAAAAACTTGTAAACACATGTAGCAGGTAGATACGTTTCCTCTCCTGACCACAACTAATATAGCAGTGTATTGTACCCATTACTTGTAACCACATTAACCCAAACAAGCCTTCTGCACAGGATCCATCCGTGCCAGTGTTTGCCAGTTTTTTAAGTATAGAAGCAGAAGCCCAGAAAAATAAAACAGATCTATACAAGAGAAAAGGGAGACTTATTAACTCACATCACCAGTCATCCAATTTCTTATTCATCTGGCTATTACATTCTTTATTAACTGTGATCCAAAGCCAAATGTGACTTAGCCTTCCAGAAGTGAACAGATAATTTGCTTTTCCAGAGCACCAAACAAAATGTTTTACCTTTAATCATTCTGGCCTCATTCCTTGGAAATTAGGGTATTCATAGGTAGGGACCTATGAATCAGTGTTTGACACTGCAGCAGATCCCTTTCTAAGACCATATGATTGCACTTCAAAACTCCCAGTGCATGTACACAACATGGCATTAAACATTGTGCTGCTCAATGGAATGAATGTTGTAGCAGCCTGTTTTGAAGGAACAAAGCTGAACACTCACACCAGGTAACCACTTAGTTTCAGTACAGCTAAAAGCAAATGGAGAGGAGGGAATAATTTTAATGTCAAATGACAGCTATTTTGCAGATGGACCATGATGATAGTCTTCTCCCTGCAGCAACACTCCTACTTCCTTTTCTACTGATACACCAGCACAGAGTTGGTTACTAAAACTACAGTTCATTTCATTGCTTTCTGAATCAGGCTTAAAAACAACAGCTGAATGCTGGGAGGTTTTTTTGTTTTCCGACAGGTTTTTTTTCAAATGGCAAGATACTGCTATTTTTTATATTCACCCCTTCATTCTAACTATGCCTGGTGACCTCAGCAGAAGAGTATCCATCCTACAGCTGATCCCTGACAACTGCTTAAAACAACAGCTGCATGGGAATGGGAAGTGTCTAATATTCAGCCACATGCCAAGAAAATAATCTGAGTTATATTCGGATGCTGATTATTTGAAAATTGTGCCCAAGCTTCTCCTGACTACGTAAGGTTTACCAAATGGCTTTCAAAATTTATTTTATAATTTTATCAAAATAAACTGCAATGCATCTGGAATTACACTGTATGACTGAGGGGGTGCATGGTTACTGAATTTAGCCCCATAGGCATTTATAGTTTCCCTCACTGAATTTAGCCGCAGACTGAGGAATTCTATAGCTTCATCACTGGAAGGCTCATAGAATCAACAAGGTTGGAAACGACTTCTAAGATCATCAACTCCAACCTCTACTCCAGAACTGCAAAGGCCACCACTAAACCATGTCACTGAGGGCCTTGTCTACATGGTTTCTGAACACTTTCAGGGATGGTGATTCCACCCTGGGCAGCCTGTGCCTGACCACCCTCTCTGTGACGAAATTGTTCCCAATATGCAATATAAACCTCTCCTGGCACAGCTTGAGGCTGTTTCCTCTCGTCCTGTCTCTTGTACATGGAAGAAGAGACCGACCTCACTTCACTACAACCTCCTTTCATGCAGCTGTAGGGAGCAACAAGGTCCGCCCTGAGCCTTCTCTTCTCCAGACTAAACATCCCCAGGTCCCTCAGCCGTTCCCCATCACATTTGTGCTCCAGACCCTGCACCAGCTCTGTTGCCTTTCTCTGGCCCCATTCCAGCACCTCAATGTCTCTCTTGTAGTGAGGGGCCCAGAACTGAACACAGGATTCGAGGTGCAGCCTCACCAGTGCCCAGTGCAGGGGGATGATCACTGCCCTGGCCCTGCTGCCACACTATTGCTGGTACAGACCAGGATCCTTTTGGCTTCTTGGATGCCTGGGCACAAGCTGCTCATGTTCAGCTCTGTCAGTGAGCACCCCCAGCTCCTTTCCCATGAGCAGTTTCCATCTGCTCTTCCCCAAGCCTGGAGCGTTGCATGGGGTTGTTGTAGCCCAAGTGGAGGACTCAGCACTGAGCCTGGTTGAACCTCATAAAAAGAAGGGGTGTAGGACTGAGGCAGGGGCACCGTGCCAGCTGCCAACCCCCTCCGGTAGCAGCCCCTCACCGCTGCCCCCCCTGCGTGCAGGCTCTCCTCCCATTCTCCCCTGCCCTGTTCACGCCGTCCTGCCCTCCCCTCCCGCACACACCAAAGCGCGGCAGGGCCTCAAGGAGGGGGCGGCCCTGCAGCCAGCTCGGGGTCCGCCAGGGACGGGGCTGAGGGACGCTGCGGGGCTGTCCCGCCACCCGGAGACGGTGGTGGTGGCCTGGGGACAACTCCCCCCCCTCCCTTGCCGTAGCAGACCCGTTCTCCTCACGGCGGGCACGCCCCGCCCGCAGCCCCCCGGACACTCACCATCCGCGGCGGCACTCCTCAGCGGCACCGACTAGGCCACGTCTCCATAGTAACCACGCTTTTCCCGCTTCAAACCCTCGCGCGCAGCCTTGCGCTCGCAACTAACCAATAGAGAGAGGGAACAACACGGATGGGGCGTGTCCCGGCTCTGAGAAACCAATCAAAAATCCCGGCGGCCGGAGGGGGCGGAGCCCACGGACAGGCGGGAGGACGCAAGGGGAGGAGGAGCTGTCGTGATTGGTTGGAGCTGCCTTCTGTTGTGCGCCGCGCCCCGCCTACTCCCTGCCCCGGAAGTGAAGGTGAGGGAGGCGTGTCATGGTGGCCGTGGGTGGCGGTGGATAGCGCTTGGGGCTGCCCGCTGCTATTGCAACACCGGCGGGGCTCTGTGCCTCCCCCGGGCCGCCGGGCCTGGTCCCCGCCCCAGCCCGGTGCCACTGGGAGCCGCTCGTCACCACTGTGGGCACGGAGGGAGGGGTGCGGGGGACCGGCAGCAGTGGGGGGTCGCTGTCCCACCCGCCCTCGGTGAGGTTTGTCCTCGGTTGTCGCGTCCGAGCGCGGCGTTTCCAGGCCTGCTCGGGAGGTGGTGCTGGTCTCCCGGCTTGGGCGGCCTCTTGGCGCCACGGCAGCCGGGAATGGTGCCTGGTGGGGGGGATGACAGGGAACGGGGGTTTTATTTGGAGCATCTGGTCTGATTGGGACTAATTGAGGCAGTTAAAGGGGGGTTAACCGAGAGAGCTGAGCACCGCCCTGGAGCTTTGGGTGTTGGAGAGGGACTCCGTGCTGCGGTTTGGAAACTGGAGATGTCACGGCGCATTCCAGGGCAAAATGATGTTGTGTACATTTATTACTTACTGAAATGTGCAGTTCTGTCAAAGTGCAAAGCTTTGCCTGGAACTGGGAATCACTGCGACAGGGATTTCTAAATTGTTTTCTCCCTTTTTCTGTATAGGATCAGCTGTGTCGCTTATTGATCACAGTATTTGTCACTTAAGAGGTGTGTTCCTTTCTACTTACATCAAATTAATGCTTAACACATATGCCAAGAAGCTTGCGATTTTGTGCAACAGCGTCACGCCAAGCCCAGACAGCAGGGGGCCGTCCTTTGTAATTTGTTTCCTCAGCTCTGCCTCTGACACCCTGTGGAGTTCTCTGCTGCAGGGAATCTGTCTTGGGGAGTTATTTCTCTGTTACTTCCAATGATGTTGAGGTATTATCTTTGCACAGGGCCCTTGGATTTTTGGAGTGGAAAAGCTTCAGAGTGCTATTTAGTGGCTTTCCTTTTGCCTTAGCATTTTTTTTTCCTTTCTGCAGTGTGGTTTGTAATATATCAACAGCAGAAAAATTGTATGTAGGTCACATTTCATGCTTCTGATAACTTTATTTTTAAGAAAAGCTTTTATATTGGTTCCCGCTTCCTTGTCTTAAAAGGAGATGACTCAGATTTTTACAATTCAGATATCGTTAGTAAGATGCAGCTTAATTGTTTGCTAACTATGACGGGGTGGATGACTTTCAATGCATGCTGAGATATGTTTGCTCACTGTTTGATACAGTGAGTCTGTTTGAGCTCCAAGTTCTGTGTTGTTCCTGCTTGATCCTCTGTGCTCTTCCACAGTGCGGTTAACAGCAGGGCATGGCTGTGAGGGCCTGTGGCTTGATCGTCTACAGGAGGCTGCAGTCAGCACCATCTTCTAAGGTCACTGATGGTATTGAATACCTCCTCCTTCAGACATCTTATGGGACCCATCACTGGACCCCACCCAAAGGTGATGTTTGTTCTGGTAACACACTTCAAGGTTGTTTGTGTACAAGTGAGTGAGCTTATAGACTGAACTTTGGCTGAATGCTGCAAAGGTCAGCTTTGAGGGCCAGCTTGCAGTTGAAAGTAGCCACTCATAATGCATTTTGTCTGATTGTGCTGTTTGTGCAGCTGCGTGGGGAGTTTTGTGGACAAAATTCTATGCAAATTGTGATTGTATAAACTACTGTGCAGGACTGATTGGGGTTGAGGGGGTCACACACCATGCTCCTCAGATATCTGATGTTTCTGGCAGACAACTGAAATTAGGCAGCTAGGGAAATTTCTGCCTTCTTACTCAGGGTTTAACCCTCCAGTGGATATCACTGTTACCAATGTGTTGTCTGACCTCTGTATAAAAGAGGGGTTACGCTTTGCAGCTCAGTATTAAAGGGCAAAGTGAAGTGGGTGATGATTAATTTTAAAATACCTTTCTTAGAAGATGCAGGAGTTTCTTTATGTTCAGGAGATCATTAGTAAAGAGCATGTATCTATATAGCAGAGACAAGAGGGAATTACAGGATAATTAACGTTACCAGGCATCTTTAACTAAGGTATCCTTACTTGATCAGTGGTGCGCCAGAGGAGAGAACAAGACCTGTGCCTCAAGACATGCAGGAACACCTTGTCTGTAAATACACGTGGCAGAGCCAGTGTTTGGTAATACTAGCTGCAGCCCTGGTACCAGGAAAAGTGTTGCACAGAAATATTTCAGGTTCCTTGTACATGGTCTTATATGCTAGTTTTTATCCCCGAGATGTATTTTGGCTAGTTTCTACCTCTTGTTTTGTAAAATGCAGTGCTCTTAAAGCATAGTGCAGGAGCAGCCTGTAACCAGGATTTCACAAATTGGAAAAAAAACTTGTGACAGTATCAGCTGTGCTGTCCTATTAAGGGAAAGAACAAAACTTTCCAAACCTGCCCCTTTGTCCCCTTGACCAAAAGCCTAAGGGAGTACAGTTTGTAGCTGAAAAATACATGCTGGGACATGATTGGTTGTTGTAAGAGGAGGGACCCATATGGAAACGTTCACTGGGAGCACAGCAATTCTGGACAAGTGCTTGAAGTTACTTGTAGGCATTTCAGTAGGGAAAAGAAAAAAAATAAAAAATCATAGAATTGTGGAATGGTTTGAAGTGGGAGGGCCCTTGAAAGGTTCATCTGGTCCAGCTGCCCAGCTCTGAGCAGGGCCTTCTTGCACTAGGTGAGATTGTCTTCAAGCCCCGAGCAGGCTGACCTGGAATGTTTCCAGTCCTGGGCATCTCTCAGCTGTCTGGGCAACCTGTTGGAGTGTTTCAGTATTGTCATGGTAAACAGTGCTCTCCTTGTAGCTCACCTGAATGTCATCTATTGTAAGTGTAAAACCCTTGCTCTTTGTCTGCTGGCACAGGTCCTGTTCCAAAGCCTGTCCCCATTGTTCTTAGAAGCTCCCTGTCAGGCCTGAATGGCTGACAGAAGGTGTTCCCAGAGCCTTCTCCAGACTGAAGAGCTCCAGCTTTCTCAGCCTCTCCTTATAGAGAGGTGTTCCATTCTTCTGATCAGTTTTGTGGCCCTCCTCTGGTCCTGTCTGAACAGGTTCATGTCTTTCCTGTGCACAGGGTCCCAGAGCTGGATGCATAACTCCAGCTGGGGGCTCACTGGAACAGATTATAGAGGGGAAGACTCACCTCCCTCTACATATTGTTTAAGATTTATAGATCATCAGGCACAGTGTGATGTCAGTCTTCAATAGTAGCTTGGTACAGACTGGGAGCAGTAAATGAAGGGGAGCTATTACACTGAATGTATTCTGTTTTATGAGTGGTTTTCGGAGGCAGCCTGAGGTTGTGTGATGCAGTAACATAACTTGTATGTGATGCAGACATAGATTTAATGTGGCAGGAGCCAGAATGAGAGGTTGTAAGAGTCTAACCCAGAACATGCAGACGGCAATTTACAGCTGCAGCTGTACACTGGTGTTTTTAAGAGTTCCCTAAGCAGCTGCAACACTTACGGGATTAAATTGGACTTTCTTGGATCTCCCCACATGAGCTTCATCAGCCTCATCTCTTTCTCCCAGAACTGTGACTTTGCATTAGAGGAGGCTGATGGGAAGGGGGTGCAGGGTTCATTTTCTCCTCAGCATGTTGGAACTGCATTGGTGCGAATGGCAGGGAGGATCTGGAAGATGTGAGGTACTGCCGGCAGCCCTTTTTCCACACAGTAGGTAGACTACTGTACTGCACGAAGTTGGAAACTTACTGATCTTAGACCTGATGTTGTCAACAGCAGGGTGAGGTGATTATCTTTTGGTGTGCTGGAGGACAGGAGGTTGCACGAGTATTCTTTGAGTTGAAACTACATCTCAGCCCTCCAGTGTTATTGCTACCTCAACTCTTTGCACATTTGGTGTCTACAGATCACGACTTTCATAAAACGTAGTGGCTACTTACTCTTCATGGATGTTCTGTGGGCATTTGCTGTGGGTACTGTAAAAGTAGTCCAGCTGACAAGGCCAAGTCAATTCTGTTTCTATTAGCTGTAAGTCCCAGCTATGAAAATACATACTTTGTCATAAAGGAGACTGCACTGTTGAGACTTCGAGGGGAGTGGGGGCAGAAATACTTTTACTTAAAGTCTCGGTGTATTTGATGTCAAATATCTGAGACATCAAATGGAACATCTAATGCTGTTTTCTGCACAGTTGCTGTTTGAAATTGAAGCATATTTTACATTTCAGATGTTGCAAGAGGTGTTTGAGCTTCTGGTAGGAAAGAAGTGAGCAAGACCTGTTGGGAAAGCAAAATGAGCTTCTCACATATCCCAGTTCTAGTACTAAAGGGTGGCTTTGGATACCTGAGCCCTGAGGAAAGATTTGTTTCTCTGATGAAATTATGGCTATATGCAGCCAGCTACATAGAAAAACAGGGAGACACCAGGGGCAGAACAAAGCTTAAACTTTTGCTTTTTTTCCTCCCAACTTTTTCTGCTTTGCTTTTTTTGAAATCTTGCTTGGCTTGCTCTATTTATGTTCTGGTCTGGAGCTTTCATGAGAAAACCAAATCTGACATTTCTCAACAAAAGTATAAGCAGCTGGGGATGTGTTATATTTATCCTTTGTTTGTAATGGCACCTCTCATTCTGAGTAACGTAAAATAAATGATGTGTCTTAGAAGAACTGCACAGCTGGTGAAAGGACTGGCTTTTAGGCTTGCTGTGTTTCAGAGAGGAATATGGGAGGAAAATAAAAATATCCCTAACTGTTGTTGGTGCCTGCTCCTGTTGTTTCTGGGCTGTGGGCAAGAGTGAGAGTTTTGCAGAACTGAGCCTTAAGCTTCTGTGGGAGGGAAGGCGTGAGTGAGGTCTAAGAACCTTTCAGATGAGCAGTCACTGGGGTAAAGGAAGGGCACTTAAGAGGCACTCGGTCCTCAGTACAATTCAAGGTGGGACATTACAGACTTTAGAAGACAGGAAGAGGACTTGAAGAAAAGATGTCTAGTGCTTGACAGGCTACTGAGAGTTTCAGAAGATGGGATAAACAACGATCTTAAAATCCTCAAGACAAAGACAAATCAAGACATAAGAGTTGGAAAAGCAATCTCACTTCTCCAGTTTCTGTTTGATTCTTTATCGGCTACAGTATACTCTCATCCCTGTGTCCCGGTGTTTCCTAGTTAAGTAAATGAAACAAAATCTGAGTTTTGTTCTCAGCAATTTACTTTTTCACCTTCTTGACAGGCCATGTGGACCCAGGAGAGGATGACCTGCAGACAGCCTTCCGGGAAACACAGGAGGAGGCTGGTCTTCAGGCCAGTCAGCTCACCCTCATAGAGGGGTACAAGAAAGAACTGCACTATCCTGCCCATGGCAAACCAAAGATTGTCATTTACTGGCTGGCAGAAGTGAAGGACTGTAACACAGAAATCAAGCTCTCTGAGGAGCACCAAGCTTTCCAGTGGCTGAAGCTGGAGGATGCTTGCAAGTTTGCAGAATATGAGGACATGCAAGCAATTCTGAAAGAAGCACATGAGTTTCTCTGCTCAAAAAAATAAATGCATTTGTGAAAGATAAGGGGAATTGAAGAAGAAACATGGCCTGCCTTTTTTTTTTCTTGTTTTTTTTTTTCTTTTTGCTTTATTTTTTTCAACCAGGGGAGAGCTTCATGGTTGCAAAAATTCAGATTCTTTAAATTGTACAAATTCAGTGAAGATACTTGAACCTTTTGAAGAGCTTGTGCTTTTGTCTCTCCTAGCTTATGCAAAAAAGCATGATTGAATCATGAGCCAGAGATGTCTGAATTGAAACCCAGAGCTAACAAGGACTTCCTCTGTTCCAGTCTCCTTTTTCACGCTTTTTTTTTTTTCCCTCCTTGAAGTGCTGAGCAACCAAAGGTCTTTTTGAAAAATCAACCCCCTGATATTCTTGGCTTACTAAAGTAAAATTGCAGAGTTGATAAAATGAGCATGTGGAGATTTTTAATAGCAACATATTTACTGCAGAAGGTGCACCTTGCATTTCAAATAGAGAAGCAATAGTCCTGTTCCCACCTCCTCCACCATCATGCTGTGATAACTTGTCAAAATCATTTCAAGTCTTGTTTGTTTGTATCATGAATTTATGTACATCAATAATGTACTGTTATGAAAACATTCTCCATCCGAAGAGTCTTAGTAAACACTTGATCTACAGTATTTAAATTGTAAAGTTGAAGTTCTTCTTTTGCCCTTTCTTTTCCTTTTCGCTCTTAAAAAGACACCTTACCCATGCATTATTCAGGGGGTTGGGAAAGGGAAATGTATCTGCCCCATACAGCATTTTCTGCACAGAACAGCTAAGCTAGCGTGCAATCTTGTGTCCATTTGCTAGTGTCTGTGTTTCTGTGGTTGCAGCCAGTGCCCATGTGCAGTGACAGTGCTGAGCTCTGGGTACTTGCGCCGGATGATTGCAGAAACCCATGATAGTACCAAGGAGCTCACCTGTGTCAGATTCCCTGTGGGCCTCTCTCTTGTCAACTTGCATTGGTGAGAGCTGAAGCTGTTAGCTCTCAGTATGATTGTGCATGTTCCCATTCATAATGATGGTTCATAATCTTTTGGCTGTTTTGGTACAAAATACCAAAAAAGCATGATGGCATTTTTAATATTTTTAGATGAGGAATGGGGTTTTCTGAATCCCAGTGAACTTTGGGGAAAGACAAGTGTCCCTTCTTCCCTACTTTTCTAGCCTTTGCTGCCTACACACATGGACCTTACAGAGCAAATGAGTGCATGAGAAAGTGGGTTCCACTCACACTTTGCCTTCCTCCTGGCTGCAGGAGTGAAGTGAGGGTCATCAGCATCACATTAGTGCAGGAGGAGACCTGCAATACCAGAGATGCAGCATTACCGGGCTGAGAAACATGGGTGGCAGTTCAGTGTTGTGTTACTCTCCAGTTACACAGCACTCATCCTTTGGTGCAGTGTATATTGATAATGTTAGTACTACTGTGACAGTGGTGTCTTGCTCATCACTGTTATCTTCCTGAAGAGTGATTTATAAAAGCTCCCTCCTAGAGCATCCTTTTTTGTGTCTGTATGTGTGTGAATATATACATATATACACAAAAAAAAGATGCACTAGAAGGAGGCTTTTAGTATATATGTATATACACACATAAGCAATTTTATTGTTCCTCAACTTTATAGTCAGATTATATTTGGATTATGAACACTGTTTATTGGGTTCAGGTGATGCTAGAGAGTGAGCAGCACACAGGTTGTGCAATTGCTTTTAGCGTTTCTCAGCTAGCTTGAGAAGCAGAGGATGGAAGGTGTCTCCCACTGTCACCAGGTTCAGCCACAAGGCAGAATTGGCTATCCTGGAGTCTTTCCTGATAGATGTTTGGCTAATGTGATTTTTAAAACCTGATAAAGGCTCACACCCTCGGCTCCTCTGTCCATACACAGGAAAATTTGGTCTCTAGTGTAAACCAGTGAGAAATAGCTGAAAGATAACAATCAGTAAAAGAGCGAGGGAGAAAACAGTTACAAGCTTGTGCTGCTTCACAGTCTTATTTTTTAATTATCGTTTGAGCTACCATTTCATCAGTGCTATGTAAACAATGGTGTTAACTGCCTTCATGTTTATGATCAAGATTAGCATAGCAAGCATGAGTTGTAGACAGTCATTAACAAGTAATCTCTTCTGTCCAGCAGTAATGAACATAAGCACTTGTTGCTTTGAAGAGCACATTAGCTGAACTCTGAGGAAGTATTTCCATTTTAATGGTACTGCATACATTAGAGTTCCCAAAGGACATCAAGGTTTTGTAATAACAAATGCTGTGCACTCTAAGGTGATGTGCTCTTTGGACTAAATTTCAAAGGCTGGCGTCTCAGTTGTGGTAGGAAAAGGTACAAGGGATGTAACTGTCATAATTGGTGAGGCACTGCATGTGCATTTTGAGAGGTTTATGTACGGAACGTATTCACATAAATTTTGTGTGTAAAATGGTGCTTACGCAGTTGGAAACTTGACCCAAAAGGCTTTGTATTTGTTTTAAAGTGGAAACATTGGAAGGTCAGAATTTAATTCTGACTCTTGTTTGTGTTCACTGTTCACTGGTGGAAAAAAAGAGTTCTCCTCTGCCCGTGTCTAGTAATAAAATGTTTTCCCAAGGATCATGTGGGAAACCCTCCAGTAAATGATTGTGGAATAATCTGCCAAGGGAAGACATTTATTTCCAACCTCTGTGATTTTTATCCCCTAAACCAATAAGGTTTGTATTGTCTTTCTTGAGACCAGCTAAGTTTTTGCTCATAATAGTATCTCATAGCAGTTAACTTTTTACCAGGCTGCGGATCTATGTTTAGAAAACAGTAAAAATACTCAGAGATTTTAAATTCCTTAGAGACCTTACTTCTGCCTTAGGGTAAATAAAATCATACTCCAGAGAAGTCCAAGTTCCACTGAAATAGTACAACTTAATATCGGTAAAGTGAGAAGTGTTGGTTAAGTCTGAGTAAGAAACAGGTTAGGGTATGGTTTCCCTTGCTTTGTTGAATAAATACACTGATGCAGCTCATGCTTGTAATTTCCTGGTGTTAGTATTTCTTTTTCCACATAATTCCTGATTATAGCTGTGATTACAGTTTACATTGCCACAGGATCAGTGAGAAGGAAAGCATAAATTCATTAGTATTAGAAAAGCAGTAAGACATCGCAAGTTTCACTGAGAAAAGATCAGGATTGAGTGTGATGGTCACAGGTATGCTCAAACAGGAAGTGTAAAGGCTGGAAATGCTTTACTCCTTTCTAGAAAAAAGATGTTACTGCTGTTGATGGGAGCAATATATCTGTTCATTGACTATTCCATATGACTATGGGATGTCAGAGACTGCAGCTGGTATAAAATAGCTGGGTAATATCATATCCCCGACAAGCACCACTGATGCTACTTGTCATTCCCCGTAAAGAAAGAAGATGTGTTCTATAATAAGGTCTAATATGTCTTAAATATGGAAATATTTCAAGAGATATGTACTCTCTCAGCAGGACTCTTGCAGTGATGCAGAGAGGACGATGGAGTGCTGCCTATTAAGTTAGAAAAATTACTTGCTGTCACTTAATTGACAGCTTAGTGAGGATAGTATTTTGGCAGATATCTGGAAGAGATTTTATCTTCTGAGTCCTGAAGACAGTGCTTATTAGTTATGTTCTCACACTGATAGAGTAACTGACAGCCTTCTGTGCCTCTTGGCAGCTAGTTTTAGCTCAAAAAGGATTTGTGGATCATCAGGACTTCTGTTTTTCAGTTTACACTTTGTCTCCAAAGATTTAGTTTCTTATATGATCCGTAACTCTGAATTTAGGGGCAAAGGACAGTTGCAGCTGGCAAGAGTCTTGGCTTCATTAAGCTAAATCTGGTTTTTGTTATAGGTTAGAAAAGCTCTGGAAGAGCTAAGCAGCGTGTGTCTAGATGAACCAAATAATCTGCTCTGCTTGCTTCAACGTCGTGCTGTGCAAGGAGATTGTTCTCAAGTGTTAAAAAAATCCCCAAACAGTGTTTACAACTCCCTGTCAAAACAGCAAGGCTAGGGAGGAGATTGGCAGTGGTGGCACTCTTCCTGGTGGGAAGGGTGACACAGCATGGAACAACAGCTCTGTTGGTTTGGAGCTAGTCCATTTGATAATTGGCGTTATCAAAAAGAGGAGTGACAGTCCCGTCTTTCCACTCGATGAGGATTTCTCCACGCCTCAGGGAAGGGGAGCGAGATGGTGGAAGGTACGTCCGGGGACCTCTTTGTAAGGGAGACGGCTCCCGTAAGTCAGCTCTGCTGCTGTTTGCTGCGGAGCTCTTCAGAGCAGAGAGGATTTTCTTCTTCCTAACAGGAGAGAGAAGAGGGTACATAACTGCATCTGCCTGACACTTGGTTGCTTCTCCATGTCAACTGGTTCAGCAGCCACAGTGCCCACATTGTCTAAATTGCCCTTCAGGGATGGCATGAGGTGTTCAGGAAAGGAGGAGCCAACATTATCAAGTGCATTTGGATGGGGTTGAGTGAGAGGGAGAAACAGGGTGGCAAAGAGGAGAAATCATCAAGGGTGACATCTTGGGTGAGCAGACCCATCTGAATGGGGAAGGGTGCCAAGATCAAGACTTCTGTTTTGAAATGCTGTACAGGGATGTGTCAAATTGGATGAATCTAAATCTCAACTTACTTGTTGTAATGGACATTGAGTGTCAGTATTATTAATCCCAGTATGAATGCCAAGGGGCTGAGGACCAGCATGGCTGTCTTCCAGTTGGTGCCTGAAAGGATATGATGGAAAACATTCATGTTTGCTGTACCTATCCCCATACTTATGCAATAGCCATGATTGCCACAAAAAACACCTGTAGTGTCCCTGAAGACTTTGATAGCAGGAAAAGTGCTTTTCCTATGAGACCAACATCATACAGCTGCTTAACACCTCACAGCATTCCTTTATTGAAAACAGCCACAAAAAGGTTTTCTTTCTCACTAGGAATACAATACCTATTCATGCTTCTGCACTCTGCAGCTCTCTGATACAAAACAAGAAGGGCTGGGGGAAGGCACCAGTGCTGGTGGATATCTGTTTCTCCTGGTGAGCTGGGACAAAGGATTTGCATGGTTTTGCTCACTTTTTTACTCGAGGCCTGGGAAGATTAAGTAAATCTTTGACAGGAGTTTTTCTGACAGGTAATTTGATGCCCTAGTTCCCTACTGAGCACCCTCCTCAGATGGGAGGTCAGGGGCACTGATGAACCCTCATCTACCCGGTCTCTTCCTCCTCTGTCTGATCCTTGGACCTACCTGCAAGCCTGGCCCCGGCGTTTTTCCCTCGATTTCCATGGTGCTTTTTCGAGTGATTATGGGATACATCTGAGGGAAGAAGAGAAACTCAGATTAGCAGCTTCCGCTGTTGGACAGGAGGAGGTTCCAACTTCTTCCTGGAGCTGCACAGATCCCCTTTGTGCAGAGCAGGAAGGGAAGAGGAAACTTTCTTGTTCCTCAGCATTCCCCAGCCACCGGATAATTTTTGCTGCTAGAACATCCGGCTGTGCCTCCAGGTTAAGGCTATGAGTGCATCACTGAACTGCCAGCCAGGGAAAACAACGTGTTGTGTGAAAGCGAAGCCTTGAACCGTTCAGTGGTACACATGGAAGTTCTTCAGAAGTACTCAGGTACTTACCACCACTGAAAATACTTGAGTAATCTCCCGATGCCACCCACAGTTTCCTTCCTGCTGTTCTCACATATGCATTCAGAAAAGTGCTCACCCTCGTTTGCTGGGAGGTACGGCTGTTTGGTCTTCACAGGAGACACTGTGCTGTTAAGTTTGTTAGCCAGCGGTGGGTCAGTCAAGCTCACAGAAGATTCTCTGTCCACAGCACTGGTCTTTGGTGAATCAATGGTTTTAGCTTGTAAAAAAATAAAGCAAAGATGTGTGTGATTATCATTTACTTTTTGTACAGAAGGGAAGAGAGCCCAGCCCTGCTGCTTTAGTCCTCTACCCTGCAAGGTGAAGGCAATGTGGTACGATAGCAATCACCTTCCTGTTTATCAGGGCCTTCCATTCTCATAGGTTTCAAAGATGAAGTGAATCTTTCAATATGGAATCCATGGCCAAAGCAGATCTTGTTTTCTGGTGATAAATAAGCTTATTGGTCTAAAAAGTATGAGTGTAACACCAGCTGTTAAAGGATGAAATGTGGGAAAGAGGCAAGTGGAAGCGTCAGAGGTATTACCAACACAGCAGATGAAGAAATGGGATCAAAAGGGTGGTAAATAGTCCATACCTCTTGCAAGGCTCCGTGACATCCTTTGCCTTACCAGTTGTGCTGCAGAAGGTGGGTAAGTGGGGTAGCAGCTACAGCTAGAGGTTAGGTTGTGGGAAATCTGGTAGCAGCAGTTATCATCCCTATCGTGCATATGGCATGATCAAGAAACCCATGTCTGCACAGTGCTCCTGCTGCTTATCCCAACCCCATCCCTTCCTGTGGCACAAGCATCCACAGGTACACAGATGTAACTTACAGAGCAAATAACCCACCGAAGTAAAAGTTGTCTGTTGATGGTCAACTGAAACTTGGGTAAGAAAGGCCTAAACACACATAGAACTTTGATGTTACTGAGTAGTCAGAGGCTCCTTCCAGTAGACTCTGATAGGAAAATCATCAGTTTGCACAAGACATACTAACTGGCACAACCTGATTCAAAGGCTGCTCTGTGTTTACTCTTGCACTTATTTGGGGAGCCTGGCTCCGTGGCAGCCCTGGGCTGCCAGGGACATTGCCTTGGGGAATGCAAAAGCCCTTTTCACATGCCTTTTCTCATATCTTAAATGTTCCATGCATTTCCTAGCCTATATTTAACTAGCTTATGATAGTATTTAATTTGTATTGGCTGTATTTACCCTCATATTAAACAAACACTAACACTTGTGACTACTGTGGTAATTACATGCTAACCTTCTAGTTGGCTAATTAAAAAGGCCATCTTATCTGCACATGGCAGCCAAAAAAGCTCTTTTTATTTTAAATTAGATACAGCCTCTTAGTCAAAAGGTTATATTCATAATCCATTTTCTTACGTCAAACAAATTCATCCTATTTTCTCTTTACTCATTTCTGCAAAGCTGAAAATCTCATTGGGGCCATCAAGCCTTAAGGTGAGGAATAGCTTTATGGAAAGAAAATAATTCTCCCTGGTAAGGTTGGGAATCTCATCACCTACAGAGTGGACAAACACCATTACAAATACCAGCTATTTTCTGGTCTCTGGAGTGGAGGAAGGGACAGGAGGAATTGTGTGTGTTTTTTCAGGTCTCAGTCCTTCACACAACCTCACAAGAAATGTCCTGAAAGCACCTTCCTTTGCATAAGGGGCTAAATGAAAAAGGGAAACATACTGAATCATGAATGATCAGTGGTTGGCAATAAGCATCATGGGGCATCTGACAAAGGATGACAGTCACACCTTGGTGCGATGGCCATGCCTGATGCCTGTCAGCCTGGTGTCCAACACCTAACACGAAGACAGGACCATCGTTTCTGCCCTTTTTGTGTCCAGGCAGAAGACAGTGAACAGTCATGAAGACAGAGATTAGATTCTTTTTAGTAGAGGCCAAGGCTGTGAAACTGGTAATATAAACCAGACTTTTTATACTTTTTGACGTCATGTTCTAGGTTTTCTTCATGCAAAGGGAGGGCAGCACTTTAACTACCTCCCACTACTTGCTGTGTTCACTATTCTCTTTATGGTTTCATCAGGCACCAGCAACAAGGTTTGCTTTGGAGTATATGAAAGCTTGTGATGAGGGTTAGAACTGTGGTTTCATTAGCAGTAAGGGCACTGTTGGGGTCTGGCAGGAGGTAACTGTAATGTGTTGCTTAGAAACTGGAGCAACAATTTCTCTTTACAAATATAGCTGCTGCTCAGTAATTCGTACAAGTTTAAAAGAGGTGCCTCCAGTTTTCATGTTACCGAAAATGACATTCCAAAGTACAAAGTACCAAAAGCCCTTCGAAGATTTATGAGGCTTTATGAAACTTTCTTGGTTGTTTTGGATGGGGAAGGCTCATGCGATTTCAACTATTCTTAGCTCTGGGCACTGATTCAGGTGAGCTTTCCAAAATAGTTTTGGAAAAATGACTTTTGCCTGTCATTAGAAATGCAGCTGGGGTTTAGAGACCCGATCCCGTGAGGTGTTGCATGCTTTGTGGAAAACACTGAACAGCAACCACTGGAAAACTGTGGCATCAAGTAGTTAGGCTGATTTGGAGTCATTTGGTATCTCTCTGTATGGGGCCGAAGTGAACATAAGTTAGAATGATGGATGCAAGCCAGGTGTTAGGTGGCTTGGATGACATGTAAGGTTAGGTGTTGTCTAATGCTACATCTACCTCATCTTACTTTTATGGATCCACACGCGCAAGTCTGCAGCTTGTTGTGTTGGTGTGCTGTGCCTCGGAGCTGCTGTCTGGGCAGCAGCACAGACGGTTTCCTCTGCTAGTGTCTTCCACCTGCTGAATTTGTCCTTTTTCCTCAAGACAAAGACCTTGTGTCCTCCTTCATTGGTGCTGAGGTGGAAGCGCAAGCTCTGCAGAGTCAAGTGTCCCTTCTTGCTGCAGGACCACACTTGGCGTTCCCAGTCCCCGCAGGGCTCCAGCTTCACCGGAGCATGCTCATGTGTCTTGTGGGCTGACAAGCACTGCTTTGTTTGAAGGCTGACAATGGTCCCGGCATTGGGGTCCCAGCTCCACTGCTGCTGCTGGGATTGCTCCTTGCAGTCAGTCAGGTTGATGCTGTTGGGCTTGTGATGGGAGACGCAAATGCACTTTTCCAGCTGAGTGTTCCTTATGAGAAAGCCTTGTCCCTCTGCTACTGCAGTACAATCAGAGCGCGGTTTAGTACTGTGCATGTCTTCAGAGCACCAGACATTATATATGGCATGGGGAAGGGGAAGCATAACCCACCAATCCCTTCTGGATAGATGTGCCTAGATAAACAGTTGTCCCAGCTTTCTAATTCCCCAGAATGACATTTCTTTAAAATACAGGGCATGCAAATAACCAGGAGCATATAAATTATAGAAACAAATAACAATGACATAAGTAATGAATGGGGAAAAATCTCACTGTTCTTGGAAAGTCATATCATTATGAAATATCTGCCTATATAGATTTAATTCAATATTTCAACTGCTTTAAATAGGCATCTGTCCTGGGTTCAGCAGTAGCAGTCACGACAGCACCCCATGCTTTCCTACCTGCAAAAGAACTGGATGATTTAGGGTTTTTTTGCCCCTATTCGGATCAAATCTTTCTTATAAAAAAACGCAACTGAAACCCCTGGGTTCCCCAGGTGCAATTCATCTGGCACAAGTTACACCACCTTGGGCCACTGTTTCCATTAAATGGCTTCTGGTGATATTAAAGCAACTGAAATAAAACCATACCCTATTAGATGTCTGGAAGTACTTGGCTGAGATGGTATAGTGTGAGGTGTCCCTGCCCATGGCAGGGGGGTTGGAACTAGATGATCTTAAGGTCCTTTCTAACCCTAACTATTCTATGATTCTGTGACACAGGTCATGTAAGTATTGAAATAAACATGGGTTTACTTGACATTGTTCTGTGCTCCTCAGGCATGAAGGTACCATTTTTAAGGATCCCTTTTCAAGAAAAAGACAGTACAGCTGCCCCACAACAGACACACATTTTGAAGCATTTTCTGAAATTGCTTGTTGCTTTTAATAGCAATGGATCCCAACATCTCTGATGACTTAGGATGGATGTTATCCTGTTAGTTGGACAGCTGACTCCATTTCCAGTGCAAAATCATCAGGTGTGGCCTGTGAACATCCTGAGCAAAATGTTAAATGCTAAACCATCTGTCACTGTGATTTTATACTTAAGATAGTGAGCTGGAAATACAAGTTTAAAGTTTCTGGACATTCTTAGAAATATTTTAATTATAATTACAATTAATTCATGGTAACTCCAGCTTTTGCAGTGCTTTTCCCCACCTATTTTCTCCAGGAGCTACAGTTATAATAGCCCCATCAGCATACAGTATTAAGTATAAAGAATAAGAGGAGACTGAAAAGTGATGTTAGACAAAAACGCTGATGTTTATCTAAACAACTATTTCTGTAGAGTTTCCCCTCCCAAAGCAAAGAACAATACTTTTCCCTGGCAGCAAATATTTGGCTCAGTACCTGAAAAAACTAATGACAATGTAAACAGGAGCCAGTACACAATACTGAGGGTATGAACAATAGCTTAAAAGAGCCCTTATGTTTTCTCTCAGGAAATTCTGGGGGTCTGCTAGATTAATAGTGCTTGTGGGTTGTTAAATCAGAAACAGCGCAGGGCTTTTTGATCAGCATGAATGCATGGGGAGAAACAGCCAAAACCCACTGTACATCTCTTGCATCAGCTCTGAGATGAGGATGGATGTGTGCACGCTGGGATACGAGTTCTGTAGACCTGTAATAGCCACTAATCCAGACAATTCCTGCCAAAACCGTGTTCCTGCCTAAGGTGGAAATTAAATTCCTGGGAGATCTGTGGACAGCTTGAGAGTCCTGTCCTTTTTACCCGTTACTGAGGACTGGATGGAGGGAAGATGTTTAATGAATGTTGGGCTTGAGTTTCTGCCAGCTTCCGAAGGCAGGAGAAATGTCCCATATATAATCTCCCGTGACCTTTAGAAAATTCAAAGGGATGAATACAATCCCCCCCACCATGTTTTTTCTAGGACCTGGAATCCAGGATTCTCACTTCTTTGTTCTGTCTTAAGTGGGAGAAAAGCATTTCCAAAGTAATGATTTGAGAGCTGCATAGAAATGTAACAGTGGAACATGAGAACTGTGCTGGGTCAGATAAAATATCTGCTAAGCCTGGTATCCTGTCTCCAGCACTGAGCATTAGCATTTGCTAATAGCTGAAGAGAATAAGAATCAGAAAAGAGCTCACTCAACAAAGCAAGGATACCAGTGCCTCCTTCCTAAAATGTTTCAGCTAGTCAAAAGAGCATTGCTGGGCATTTGTGATTAAAATCATAGACTCATAGAATCACAGAATGGTTTGAGTTGGAAAGGACCTTAAAGCTTATCCAGTTCCAACCCCCTGCCATGGGAAGGGACACCTTCCACTAGAGCAGGTTGCTCCAAGCCCTGTCCAGCCTGGCCTGGGACCGTGCCAGGGATGGGGCATGACTTTGCCCATGTACAGTATATTGTATTTTTCAACTCTGAAGTTCAAAACCCATTTTGTTGCTCAGTCTGTGTCATGACCTCTTTCTGCAGCTTTGCACAGTCAGCTTAAGGTTTTATTATTCTTAATAATTTTGTTCCATCAGCAGACTTTATTACTTCATTATTCACTCCTTTTGATCTTTGTTGGCACTTGCTTATACCTTTACTCTGCTGACATTGTTAACTTTCTCCACCTCTCTGTTCCAGCCTATGGGTTAAGTTCTCTCTTTTACTCCATGAGAACAGAGTTTCTTAAGGGCATTGGTGGAACAATCTTATCAAAAGCCTTTTGCAAACACAAGCACAAGATCTAGATCAGGTCACCACATTTATATGCTCATTGATGCCATTGCAGATATCAGATATCCCTACTACAAAAGCTGTACTGACTTTTATCTGTCTGTCTGAAAATTCTGTTCTTTGTTTCTATGGGCTTGCCTGATGCCAAAATCAAACCTAGTGACCTGCGTTTGCTCCCCCATGCTCTGCAAGGATCCCTCTGAAGAGGGGTGTAATTGCTGTAATGCAGTCCTTTGCGCTGAGATTAAGTACGTTTCCATGCTCCTTAGAAGTTTAAGACTTGTCATCTTTAGTTTCCTGTAGCTCAGTATGAATGCCATCCGGGCTGGTAATATGCCACAGATTATTTATCTCTTTTTTTCCCCCCTAAAACTTCCTCTATTGGCAGTTTTGTTAGATAACTCTTCAGAATGCAGAATGACTGCTGTGTGAGGACCATGTCTGAAGTGACTGCTGAAAGCAATAATCCGCTCAGCCTTTCTGCAATGCCCTGCTTTGGTTGTCCTTCTTACATGCCAGTTATTTATTTGCCTCCTTATTTCCACCAAGTTCTTCAGTTATGTTTAAAAACTTCACTTGCTAGTTTTTTTATGCTCCCTCCAGGGTGCTCCTCTAAATCTTTTTCTCATATGTTTTATTATGGATTTTGATATTAAACATGCTGTATTATTGCTGTTTTTTCTTTTTCTTGCTTGACAATGATTGCACATTTGAAAGTTTAAATTTTATATTAAATTTTGAAGAGCATTGTTGTTTAATCCAGGTAGCGGATTTGTGTTTTGCTTCTGTGTTCAGTCCCTGGTGGTATATATGTTCCCCTCTAAAAGACTGCTGTGCTATCTGCGTGTTGTCAGCAAGCATTGAGTGCCCCCATGTTGTCTACCAGCCTGTTGCACTTTTGAGCTGCCCCTTTCTACCAGCTTGCTTGGTTTTATGCAGGTCTCAGTTTGCAGAAACTCATTGCACTGAAGGTCCAGGCAGCTGATCTGCCATGGGAATACATGTGAGCTGAGGAACCTTAACACTTTGACTGAAGTGCTTTACTTTGAGATTTGTATAGCTTCTCAGTAGCATACGGCAGTAGTTTATTAGTAGATTTTTGTCTTCACACCATACCTCAGGTCCGAAAGTATAACTTCCATTTTACATCTTGGGAACAGAGGTATAACTAAACTTTTCTTGGTTCAACATTACATGGAAGGGTGACAGCAAAGCTGGAGCCATATCCTTCTACTCCAAACTGTGGTCTGAGTGTCTTCCCTACCAATAGTGACATTGAGCTCTCTGTAAAGATGGCTGTCAACAACAGGAGTTTCCTTGTGGGGTTCTGCATGATCCTTGCCATCCCAGATGTGAACCTGCGTCAATCATACAGGTTCACCATCCTCTACCTATACTTTATTTCTTTCCTGAGGTTAAGAACCTGCTAAGTGAGCAACTTACAATTAAATTCAGGTAACCAGCAGCAATCATTGCACATGCTCCACACAGTCATAAGGGGTAGACCCACAAAGCTGGAGTGTAATTACTTTGGGATGCACATTGCAGAATCACAGAATCCTAAGGGTTGGAAGGGACCTCAAAAGATCATCTAGTCCAACCCTCCTGCAAGAGCAGGGTAACCTACAGTACATCACACAGGAACTTGTCCAGGCAGGCCTTGAGTATCTCCAACGTAGAAGACTCCACAACCCCCCTGGGCAACCTGTTCCAGTGCTCTGTCACTCTCACAGTAAAGAAATTTTTCCTGATGTTCACATGGAACCTCCTATGCTCCAGTTTACACCCACTGCCCCTTGTCCTATCGCTGGACATCACTGAAAAAAACCTAGCTCCATCATCCTGACACTCACCCTTTACATATTTGTAAACATTGATGAGGTCACCCCTCAGTCTCCTCTTCTCCAAGCTAAAGAGTCCCAGCTCCCTCAGCCTCTCCTCATAAGAGAGATGTTTCATTCCCTTAATCATCTTTGTAACATCAGGCACCAAGAAACCTTGCTCAGGAAGGAAGATGTCTTTTTTGTCCCAACACTGCCAAGTCCCACTCTCCGGTAGCCCTGCAAATAAAGGCCATCAGCCCTAATAACATTAGGAACATTAAGCTGGAGCAAGTAGAATGTCCAGTGTGCTCCCTGGGGATGGGACTCAGTGTCTCTAGAAAATGCCAGCCCTACCCAGAGAGCCTGAGTAGATGCCTGCTTTTAGCTCCTCGTGTTTGAACATTTTGGCCTCTTCATATTTTTAGGAACAAAATAAACAATTTCTAGCAAAGGCACTTGATACCAGCTCATTTATCCTATGATACTGCCACTCTGGTTACAAGAAAAGCAAGCAAACATAGCCCCCTGCCTCTCCACAGCATGGCCACCCATGGGACACGCTGTTCCTCATAGGATTAGAAGCAAAACCCATGCAACGTTCCTAATTAAGGTAATGCCACCAGGAAAGCCTTGGTTACCAGTAATCCCAGTCTGGCTGGAAAGTTCCTGCTGTTTCTAAGCAGTGCCTATGATGGCTTGATCAAAGCCATTTGCAAATGCTTGGGGAGGGGTTGCTCCCTCTAAAGACTCTGTGGAGGGGGGGGTAAGTTAGAGCTGTATAAGCAGAGGTTCCCAAAACACTCCAGGTCACCTGGGAACCTCATCTGGTTCCTCTCACCGAAAAATCCTTTAATTAGCACAAATTCTGTTGCCAAGCAGGTGTTTTCTGTAAAATGACCGCTGAGTCACAGTCAGGAATTTATCTTTTCCTGCCTGTACCTGTCCTCAAAGGCAGGCATGGATCTGCAGCAGCCACAGCACCTTTCGTAGGGACACCCCACAGCCCATAATGAGCTCTCAGAGATGGCTCTCCTGAATTTATATCCAAGACCAGCATGGCAGGAGGTGAGATTAGTTTAGGGATTTTTGCAAACAGGCTGTTGACTGGAACCAACATTAGCTTTATTTTGCCCTGGTCTTCCCTCAGCCCACAGCTATACTTACTTGAATGTAAAGTTTAGAGTCATAAACATCCACGACAGTCAGTAGCCAATCTACCTCTGGAGAGGGTAATGCTGAGCAGAGTAGGGTGAGTCCCTGTTGGTGAGCAAACATGTGCCTGCCTGCCCATCAGGCCCAGCAGAATGGGCAGAGCTGGAGCTGGGTGAGCAGCTACCTGGCAACTGGGATCTCTGGGTTTATGGGACCACAATCTCCACCACTACTTCTTATCGAGCTGTGTCATTTTTATAGAGAAGTCAACAAAGCCTACTGGTAACCAGCAGTAATTAGCTGGCAAACAGCCTGTCAGTGCAAGTACCTCCTTGCAAATACTTGTTGGTCTGCACTTATTATTTTCCAGTAACATGTCTCTCCAAGAGCAGTTTTCAGCTATTGCTCCTGGCAACCACACTGGGCTGTGTTTCTTCCCAACTGCTGCTTTCTTAAAAGTATCTTACTTTTGGCTGACCAACAAAGCTTCCCATGTTACTGCAAGGTCAACTTTTCACCAAGTGTCTCAGCAAAGGCCTCCAAGGGAGCAGAACAGCCATAGGGAAAGAAGAAAGGCTTTGGCATGGAAAAGTACATGGATAAAGGATGGGGAGCAGGGGAGGTTGATGCTGATGCTTGTGGGGAAAACCAGTCCCTGGGGAGATATGATGGAAGTCTATAAAATCCAGAGAGGTCTGGAGAGGATCAGTAGGGGCTGACTGGTCAAGGACTGATCCCAGATGGAACAAGGGGTGCCAAGGGAAGGCTCACGGTGTGCAGGAGGTGACTGCACCCAACAGCCGTGTATCTATCTTTGCTGCCAGCAGGGAGAGCCTGCACACGTCGAGGGAGGACACCTGATAGCCGATGAAGAGTTAAACACACCAGCACCAGGAAATTCCCCCAGCAGAAAATAGCTGGAGGCTGGAAAAATATAGGGAGAAGAAAAGTACCAGATAAGCTCAGCCTTTCTGCCTCTGCAATGCAAAATGCTTGGGGTTGTCTTAGGAGAGCAGGGAGCAGCCAGCACTGCACATACATAGGCTTGGGAGGAAAGAGAGTGGTCCGCGGGATATGGGATCAGGACAGGATGCCAAGCAGAGCCACCACCAGCCTCACAGTTAGTGCATGAGAATAGAGAGCCAGTGTTAAGTGTAGTATTATTTCAGCATATTTTCATTATTTATTTCTGCTTGTCCATGCACAGATCCTGCTGGTGCACAACTTCCCACACCCATCTACCTCACTGTGTTACCATTAGGCCTGATTTCTTAAGAAGACCCTTCAGCTCCCTCCCTGCTTGCAGGGACTTTCCAAAGAAACCACTGTCAGGACCAGTGCAGGTGATTCCAGGATTTTGTTTCCAGCAGGGAACTGAACCCTTCAGGGCCTGTCAAGAGCAATCACCTCTGTCCCGCTGGCAGCCTTAAAACCCAGCAGCCCCAGGCAGGATGGGATGGGGAGAGGCTGCTGCAGGAAGAGATCAGCCCCAAGCAAGAACGTGTTTGCTCTCTGCTCTTTGAGCTTGCTTTGGGCACTGCCAGGTTTTGGGAAGATGAATTCCTTTCTTGCAAAACAGTTGTATTTTTGTTAGTGGTCTGACTCAAATACAGCGGCTGATTGTGTGATTGCACCAAAAGGTGCAATTCAGTGGAAAGGAAATGTCCTGTGGTCCTCCTTAATGTGATAATGAAACATAGACCTGGAGCTCCTGTTGTATGGCAGCAGTAAAAGAACCACTTCCATCCAACACTGGACAAGGTCTGTATTAGAGCAAGAGAAAGAGCAAGACCCTGGAGGCTGTTCTGCTCTCCTGGCATCCTACAATGGTATCTCCTCCAGGTCCTAAACAGATCTCCTGTAACTTTTAAAAGATGCACGTGTCTTCATGGCTCATTAGTACAGTGCCATACTCAGCCTTGGGGCTTTAAAAAATCAGAGATTCAACCCACTGGATTTACTTTGGGGTACAAAAAACAGCAGCAGATGGAGCAAAACTTAAATCTGTAGGAGCAAAACCAACCTCTCCTTTGACAGTGCTGCAGAGCAAACTGAGGGCTGGCTGCTCAAAGCAGCCCAGGGAACACGCACTTAAAGGTCGTGGAGCAGGGAATAGAAAGCAGCTGGTCAGTCTGAGGTCTGTCTTTAAGGAATAACCATCCTAGCTGTGCAGCCCAAATAGTTGCAGTCTTCTGCTCTAGGGAGCTTGATAAGCTCTGAGTACGTAACCTGTAAAACTGCAGGGCTGTCCTCCTTGCAGCTGCAGGGACTGGATGAGCCTTGAAACACTTCAGCGATTTATTTCAATGAGTCCCTTTCAACCTGGCATCTCAGGCATAAGGGTGAAATAAAAAGGGATGGTTTCTTAACTCAGGGGCTTTGCCCATTTTTAAAGAAAATAGATATAAATGCAGAGTAGATATATATAATATATATATGGTATAGAAATATAACAAAGAAAATAGACCTAGTGCTCATGATGGGATGGGTGAGACCGTGGGAAATGTACCCTGTTCCTGGGTAGCACTGCTCCAGCTCCACAGGATGATGATCGGTAGGACTTCTGCTTTCCTCACCTACCCATGCATGTCAAAGCCAAGGGTGGTTGGATTCAAAATATTCCTGTGCACAGGCAGGATACAGGATTCAAGCAACCTCAGCAAGTAGCTGAATGTTAACATGAGCCAGTACCAAGTTTGCTCCATGGAAATGAGTGGTGCGGACTCTGCAGCTCCCCAGCACATCCCACTACAGCCAACTGGCACAGGAGCAAGACTAAAGCAATGAGGTCCTGCTCCCCTTCCCACCCTCTCCCATGCTGCCAGAGCCCACTCACCTCTGCCAGGAAGGAGCAGGGAGCAGAGTGCTCCTTGAGAGGTCACTTGATGCCTGTTTCACTCCCAGAGCAGGTTTATTCATCCACTACTCTTAGCAATATAAAAGCACTTTATAAAAGCAGCCAGCATGATGCCACGGTGTCCCTGGCCAAACCATCCCAGCACCTTGCCAGGCTGTCCCTCAACCTCCCTTTACCCCTGTGTTTAATTCCATTTCAAAAGCTGCTTGAAATGTGCCCGGAGGCAGTTGTTTTACAGCTTGGTGGGTTCAGAGCTTTGCAGCCCAAGCAACACTTGAGCAGCAAAGCAGGTTAAAACCAGAGAGGAAGTTCACTTCCAACTTTCCAGCTACCCCAAAGAAGGAGAAACTTACCCTCAAGCCAAGGAAGGAGGCAAATACATCCTAGGCTCAGCCTGAAAAGCTCCATGATCTGCCAGCACAGCAGGGGGGAAGGAGCCACTGTAGCCTCTGGTCAACGTGGAGTGCCAGGCAGCCTCTGTCATTCACAGCAGAAAAACCTGCTGGGAACTCTTTTGTCTTAGCGCTGGAGACTTGGCAGCTGGCTTATCAGCAAAGGATCAGCTTGGAGACGCAGTCCCGCTCAGCGGTTATCCCTTTGGAGAAATCATATGACGAGCCAGGATGGGGGGGACCCTGGACCGAGATGCTCGCAGCCACTGAACTCAGCTCCTTAGCAGCTGTGTTTCTCCCAGCAATGAGAGCCGAATGCCAAGCAGGCTGGCGGGCTGCCTTCACCGGGGCTGGGAGCAGAGGAGGATGCGGGGCTGGCCTGACAGGGAAAGGCAAAGTTCGTCAGGAGTGCCCAGAGGGGCGTGGGATGTGTGTGCTGCAGCCCAGCGCTCGGCCGTGCTGCCACATGGGGTTGCTTTCTCTTTAGGGAGAGCTATCACAGCCAAGGTGAGTTGAAGCACCATTATACATCGTGGTGGAGATGAAGCCTCACAAGCTGGCCGCAGGGGTCCTGGGGTTGGAAGGTGATGGAAGGAAAAGCTGAGCTCCTGGCTATGGAGGAAAGTCCTGCTGTGGGTCTGCCCTGATGATCACCCTGGAGGTCGCCCAGGTCGAGTTTGGCTTTTATGCATCAGTTTTGGCTCTGCACAGGGGAAAGCAACAGGACAAGGAGTAATGGGTTAAAATTTCAACAGAAGAGATTTAGATTAGATACAAGGAAGGAATTGTTCCCTGTGAGGCTGCTGAGGCGCTGGCACAGCGTGCCCAGAGAAGCTGTGGCTGCTCCATCCCTGGCAGTGTTCAAGGCCAGGTTGGATGGGGCTTGGAGCAACCTGCTCTAGTGGAAGGTGTCCCTGCCTGTGGGAGGGTTTGGAACTGGATGAGCTCTAAGGTCCCTTCCAACCCAAACCTTTCTGTGAGTCTATGAAAACCACACATCCCGCCTTGAGAGACAGCAGCAAAGGCTGTGAAACAGAGATAGGGGAAGCCAGAGTTCTAATCTTGCTATGAAGATGCTCCATCCAGAGACCTGCACATCTCTATATGGAGCAGATCTCCAAACAGAGCAGACCTCTGGTCCAGCACCTCAGGGCATGGCGGTCAGCAGCAAGGGAAGCAGCTAGGTTCTGTGCTTGTGGCATCCCTTGTCACCCCCGATGCCAGCCAGATGTGCTCCATCCAGACATGCAACTTAACACAATCCTGTTAAAATCCAAAGGCAAATCCTGTTTTTCTGGATTTGGCAATCTTTTAATGAGATACAGGATGTTCAGGCTGCCACTGAAACCCCCACCAGCACTGTACTGAGGAGAGCCTAACCCAGAACTGATGCCATATTTAAGCCTTAGTGCAAAATGGTCAGTCTAAAAATGATGTGTCAGCACAGACCAAAATGAATCCGTCAGACATCAGCCACTGAGATTTTCAGGGTTTCAGACACCACTTTGGTCTTATTTCTTATATATGCAAGAAAATATTTGCTTATAATATTGCTCTGTAGCCTTAAAGTTCATTCTTCCATGATGCATTGGCTTGCTCACGGTGTGCTATAGCCTCGTGTAGGAATGCTTTCTTCAAATCATTTCCATGGCTTTTCCCGGGCTGCAGCTAGAAGAGAGCAAGCTACTTTCCAACTGTGATCTCTCCCACATGAAGCAGAGTAGTCCCATAATTGCTGGCTCTCAGGCACGTAATTTCCATGTCAATTAGTCCTTGGTGACCTGAGTCCCATAGAGCAGCCTTTTTCCTGGCTCCATCGTCAGTTTGATGGATGCAATGTTTTTTTCTCATCATTTTGTGGCTCCTGGTGAATTTAACCAGAGTGAAGCAATGAGCAAATGAAACCACCACCTGATGGGGCCGTGGTATTACCCACCACATCTTCAAGCACAAGGATCACTCACCAGGCATGCAAATTCAGTCCTGTCTGTTAGGCACTGCTTTCAGGAACACAGAAACTCGAAGACCAAGCAGAGACAAATATTTTGCTAGCCTAAAACTCGTGGGATGCTCAGGAATAACACAGACATCCCAGCCTTTAAGCTGGCAAGGTATTGTATGACACACAGTACACCAGCAGTGCTTAAAATCTGGGCTCAGACCTGTACCCTCAGTGTCATGAGGACAGGGATGGCACCAGGTCCCTGGGGTGAATAAGGCTGGGGCTCTGGGGGGTTCTCCATCTGTTCAGTGTTTTAGAGGTGAAATCTTCCTCTCTCCCTGGGTAACCTCCTTTGGGCAAGGTACAAATCCTTATTAGCTTTCTTTTCAGCTGTCTGGCCTTTTTCCACTGCTTCAAAGTGCTTGTGAAAGGAACAGCTTCAGCCATGCAGGGTGATTTATAAAAACCCAGGGAAGTCTGTCTTGCTTATGACCAGGCTGAGTTTTGTTGGTAAGGCCCCTTCCACATCCCTCTGGCTGCCGGCTGGCACTAATCACCACTCATCCTTCCGTCTACATCTGCCTTGAAGATGGGCTTTCATTGCCTTGGTCAAAGCTGAGGCAAGCTGAGGGTTCTGGCCATCTTGGGGTTGTCTCTGCAGTGAAACCTTTGATCACAGAGAAGCACTTGGCATCAAATACTTAGGAAAATAGCCACAGTAAAGATCCTGTGTCTCTGAGAAGGAATGCAAAAGGAGAAAGAGATTTTTACATACCAAAATTATCCCATATTGAGGAACTGGAGCCAGTTTTGGGTAAAGCAGCTTCTCCAGAGATGTCTGGGTTAGATGTGGTCCTTGCAGCCATGCTACAATGTGAGCAGCAGGCTGAAACTGTGGCTAGCCCAGAGCAGATGCCCTCAGCCTGCCTGAGAGCCTCATCTCCCACTTTGGGTACGTATTTGCCACAAGAATTCCCACAGGGGCAGGAATGAGGTAAATTGCCCAGGCAGTTGGCTGAACCCATGCAAATCCTGAAGCACCCCCTTAAGGACCTACCTGGACCTCATGTTAGGTCTCTGGGTCACAGATTCTGCATGAAGGTGAAAGCCTTCAAGCTATCTCACCTCTATCTCACTGCTGTTGCAGGCATCTCCCAAGAGTTCCCTCTGGAGCAGACCCTCCAACTGAGCCTGGGTCTAAGTGGGAGAAAGCCCAGCTCAGACCCAGATCCCTTCCAGGCTTATTTCTTCACATGGCACAAGCCCAACTCACTGACTTCATTCAGAGCAGTCTGAGATGACAGCCTCCTTTTTCCCCCCCACTTTTTCCTGTATTTCCACTGTCCTCAGCCTACTCACATGATTGCAGCTGAGGCACACAGTGACCTTTTTTCCCCTTGCCTGTGCTTTGCTTATTGCTCTCTGCTCGGTTTGCTTCTTCATCAGGGGGAGGCACCTCAAAAACTCCCTGGAGCTCCTCACAAGCACTGATCCTGATGGAACAGGGTCTGACAGCCCGGTGCTGCCCAGGGGATGCCCAATGACCGGTCACCAAGCAGCCTATGACAAGCCTGGCAATACTGCCTGGGTTTCAATCTCAGCCACTGACTCAGCAGATGGAGCTCCTTCCCAACGATACCGGCAGAGCAGCTCTCAGCATGCAGTGGGAAGCTGTGGCCACTGCGTGCATTTTGGAGCAGCACATGGACACTGTGTGCAGGCTCAGGAGTCAAGGGAGAGATTTGAAAAGGAGAAAAAAATAGATTTTGAAGGTTTTTTTTTCTGACAAATTGGAAAGGAGAAGTTTGTTCATATAAGAGGATGGGACTGGGGCTTCCACTACCTACTCTTACAGCTATTAGGACTGAAAGACCTGTTCATTAAACTTCACTTTATTTCCAGCGGTGAGGGACCAGGATCTTCTGGATAAGGAAAACCCCAGGTAATATTTCTGCTCCAGACCTGAGCTGGATTTGCATGACTTTAAGGGTCTTATACCACTTTCAGGTTTGCAGGAGGTTACCAGCTTTGCATCAGCACTTTCTGCAGGGACAAGCCATCAGAGTCTGTGCAGTCACCTTCACACTGAGATCAGCTAAAAACCCTCCAGGCATCAGGAGCCATGGGGAGCAGTGCACAGACCCCCAGATCAGCACGGCTGCCAGGCATAAATCTGCTCAGAACAGACTGGTGTGTGAGCTGGTGCAGGTCTCTCCATGCCTAGTGCATCCCTGCAGGACACAGCCACAGTCCTCCTGGGAGGTCAGACTCTGCTGCTGATATGGGGTTAATAAGACCCAAACTGCTGTTTCAGCCCAAAGATCTGGGTGAAATCCCCATGGGCCAAAAGTAGAGGCATTGCTGTTGCCCTGGCTGGAGCTATCATGGATTGCTCAAAGCCCAGAGCTGGGGTGAGGGCTGCACACAGTGCTGTGGATAATATCCCCCCTGCTTTGGCGCACAAGTGAGCTTTTTTTTTTTTTCCAGGAGAAGCAGGATTCTGCACCACTCCAAGGGAGAGATTCTGTCTGTATCCCTCTTCAGCCACCTGATTAGGTTGCTGCAGGAGCTCCATCAGCCCTGGCTGCTGCTGGCAGGAATGCTGGTGTGCCTACTTGCACCACATGGATTGCAGAGCAATGGCAATGTCACCTCTCCCTCTGCATCCATCCCCCAGCCACTTCCCCCTTGCGTTAAGACATGTTAGCTTTGTAGCTAATCTGTGGCAGCTCACGAAATAACCTTGGCTCTCCCTCGCTCGCCCTCCTTGACTGCAGCGATAGCAGATACCTCTTTTGTCACGTCATCTATAGACACAGCAAAAACGGTGAGCAAACCTCTCCTGAGCCCCTTTTAGCAATAAATCACTCATACAATGCCTGCGTGTACTAGGCAGCCATGGGAATCAGAGGTGATGGGAACTCCTTTCTGCTTTGTGTGTGTTTTCTGCTAAAATGTCCCATTTGAAACAGTCTTAAAAGACCTCAGTAAATGATTAATCAGTTCATGCGGAGTTTGACATGGCAATTGTTTATGACCATGACTTACAGATACCTATAGCACTTTCTGCTAGAATGTGCTGTATAGTCTCCCTACAAGTGCCTGTTTGTGACTCCTGAGTGTTTGATAACCCTTATTAAAAGAATCTTAATATACGAATTATTTCCTGGTGGGTTGTTTGATGAGTGATCCTCTCCCTGCACCAGCAGGTAGATAAATACAGTTGAAAGGTGAAAGTCTGTGGATTCAGGAATCACATACCTAAGACCTTAACTGAGGACTGACAAGCTTGTGCCACATGTGCCAAGAGGGTTGGGTTGCTGGATATAGATTTGGTCTGGAGGAAGAAGGTTCTGAGGGTACATGTAAAAGGGGTTTAGGTGTGTAGCTGCCCTTTGAGCTGGCTGATGTGTGGTTCATCACTCAAAGCCCTTGCTTAGCTCCTATTTAACTCTAAGAGGGTCTAAAGTCCTGGCTTGTTTTCTGGATATCACAGTGCTGGATATGTCAATGTTTAATTTGTGCATGCTAAGGGCTGCTTAGATCCTTGGGGTGTGGAATACCACCTCCTTTTGGAGGAAGGCCTTGGGGTTCGATGGGGCCAGACCCCTATCAGATTAAGATCTGGTAAAGAAGCCCAAATATAACACAGCAGTGCGTGCATCCCTGGGACATCTGGATTTTGGGTTGCTATGGAAGCATTCAGCCCATTCTTGCTTGGAAGCAGTTGCACTTTGTGTGGGTTAATTAAGTACTCACCAAAGCACAGAGGCTTTGTTACTATTCACAGGAAAGGGACACTGTGATGCCATAACCCCATGGATGGAGCAAGGAAAAGGCTAGATCTAGGCTCTGGGTCGCCTGTGTGCACTGCTTGTCCGGACTCGTCCTCATCAGCCCCAAGCAGCACTCAGGGTGCCAGCTTGCCACTGGATATTTAATGTTTCCATGAAACACAAGCCTTGCAGCTCAGGAGTCAGCAGCTTTAGAAACTCCCTTACCCTGGTGGGATCTACCCCAGAAACCACAGTTGCATCCTGCTCTGCCGCCAGGTGTGTCTACTCTTTCCACTGACCAGTCACATCTCACCTCTCCTCCATGAGGGGCAGGCCTATGGTGCTCACCACATCATAGGAAGGAAAGAAACCCAAATGGCCCTTGGGACAGTACAGCTTGGTCCAGGAGCCCTGATTCCCTTATATACCATCTTTCTGCCACTGATCTACCCCTGGGGAAAGCGAGTGATTTAAAGCAATTGTCTGGGAGAGAAGTCACTGCATAGGAATCTTACACATCCTTTATTCTTACAGGGATTTTTGAGTCCTACTGAGTCCCTGTGTTTTGATGTGGTTTTGGTTTGGTTTGGGTTATTTTTTTTTGGTTTTATTTTTGTTTGTTTGTTTTGGGTTTGTTGTTTTTTTTTGTGTGTGTGTGTGTGGTTTTGTTTTGTTTTCATTGTGGTTTTGTTTTGTTTTCATTGTGGTTTTGTTTTTTTTTAATGTGCTGTTTAGCATAAAGAAATACAAGAACAAATAAAAATAAAAAGCAGAATTCCTGGAAAATCGACTTGCCCTGCTTCCCTCTCCCTTCCCCTTCCTTGTTTTTCACCCTGAGAAATGATGGGGCTCATGTTAAAGGAGACTCCTGCCTCCAGGCTGATTGGGAGGGCAAAAGGAGGAAGGAAGAAGAGGGGGAAAGCCCAGAGGGCGGCACCCAGGGACTGATGCAGCGCATCCAGGCAGCTTCAAAGCAAAAAGGCTGTTTTGCAAAAACACCATGGTTTGGCTGGAAACCACCCCCCCGTGCTGGAGCTACACAGCTGTGTCAGGAGCCAGCCCAGCACGGGAAGGCTGCCAGCTCTGAGCTCTTTGGGGCTGGCAGAGTGCCCCGAGCACACATGTAACCCAACCTGCTCCCCAAAACCGTCCCTGGGGCAGCACTGACCTTCCTTCTCTCACCCCCTACCCTTGCCAGGGCTTGCTTGGGAACACTTTTATCCTTTCTTCCTCTTTTTATTCTCTGCAAAACCTTGCTCACACTGAGACTGGATTACAAATACTGACCGAGTGGCTCATCAGGTGGCTGGGAGGCTGCTGCAATTGACACCAAACTTGGTGACCTCTGGTATTTTAATGGTTCCCAGTGTGGCTTATGATCTCTGTATACTTAGATACTGATGTCATGGCAGTGTGGGTGAATATGCCTGGCACGTATAGCTGGGCACAGCTTGCATGAGTGAGCTGGCTCTTTTTCCTCCTCTCCATACAGGCTACTCCTGCACGTTTTCATCCTATCAGAGCATGCAGACCCCAGGATGTGTACAGGGAAGCTGGGAGGGAGCCCAGTTCCATGGAATACATTGCTTTGAGCCACCTGCATCGGTTTTCCTGCCTGTTGTTTTTGTTGGCAGCAGATGCTCTATCAGATGCTGCGAGCTGCACTGCACTGCCTGGCTTGGTGATGCTTGATGCAGCTGGGGTGTGTGTCACCCTCTTGTGCACTTCTCAGCAAAACCGGCTTTAATGTAGTGCTGGTCTTGCAAAAACTTCAGTTTAACATTCCCATCCTCAGACTCTGTGCCTAAATATCATCCACCCCCACTGCACCATAATGTCTTGCCTGGCACAAGCCTGGGAGTTACAGGAACTGAATTAGGATAAAAAACAGGGAGGCGGATGTAGGGAAACACCCTGTTTTCCCATTGCCAAGAGGGGCTGTCCTAGGGTGATGGCTTCAGGACTGACAACAGTCAGGGCTCTGCCCAGCCATCCTGAAGCAGCGCAGTGCCCCAAAGTGTGTGCATCCCCACGTCCGTATGCAGGAACAAAGTGCAGGGAGATAAAACATCCCTCCCTGGCTGCATCACTGGAAGATGCTGGGGAACAGCAGGCAGAGGCTGGACACTTCAGCACTGCATTTCTCTCCCTGCATTTGATGTGGAGAAGCGGACAGGTGGAGAAATCCAGCAAGGCATATAATTGATGTAAAACCAGATCGGCTTGAGATATCCAGTCTGTAAGCTTGGGTAGCAGCCCCTTTCCCTGGCCCCATTCTCCTCCAGGCTCTGGCTTGACTTCAACCCCTTTACCTTTCCTCTGCAGGATGCAGCAAGGCTGCAGCCAAGAGAGGGTCATGGGAATGCTGGCATATCGCTGCTCCAAAAAAGCTCAGCCCAGCTGCCAGTGAACAGGCTGTCACCGCACAGAGCAGAGCAAGCCGGAGAAGCAGGGACAAGGGGAGAGGAGCTATGGCCATTAGCAAGATTTAACTGGTTTTCTGCTGTTTATAACCTTCTGTTTCATTAAATTACACGGCAGGTGTGAGTGGCCAGGCTTTGGAAAGGAGACTGTGAGCATCTTCATGCAGCAGCTTGGATTATCTGTCGACCAGTTCAGAAAAGCAAAACCATCAGCAAAGTTTCTAACTAGGCATTGGCGCTGTAAAAAGGAATAATGGACAGCAAGATTACCCACCGTGCGGGAAAACATGGGGATGCTCAAAAGGGAGATGGCAAAGAAAGGTGTTTGCCTGAAAATGTCACACCAGTGAAGCAGAAGCCATCCAAAGAGCTGAGGCCCATGCTCGGGGCCATCTTGCTGGGCCTCATCCTGTTCATCGCTGCAGTGGTGGCCTGGTGCTACTACACGGTGTCCCTGCGGAAGGCGGAGCGGCTCAAGACGGAGCTGATGGACCTGCGTGCGGACGGCTTCGTCATCAGGAACCAGCACGGGGAGGTGGTGTTCCGGCTGGCGTTCCGCTCGGGCAGCCTGGACCTGGAGTCGTGCTCCAAGGAGGGCGAGATCCTGAGCTGCACGCGCTCGGGCCGGGGGCCGCTCAACTTCTTCATCCAGACGGTGAAGCCCAAGGACACGGTGATGTGCTACCGCGTGCGCTGGGAGGAGCTGGCGGACGGCCCCGCCGTGGAGCACACCATGTTCTGGGAGGACGCGCACTGGTACGGGGGCTCCGAGATGAGCACCCAGCACTGGCCCATCCGCCTGGCCGGCTACCAGGAGCCCATGCCCTACGTGACCAGCGACGTCTACTCCTTCCGCGACAGCTTTGGCGGCATCCTCGAGCGCTACTGGCTCTCCTCCAAGGCGGCCGCCATCAAGATCAACGACTCCGTGCCCTTCCACCTGGGCTTCAACGCCACCGAGCGCACCCTCTTCTTCCAGGCGCGCTACAAGGACTCTCCCTACAAGCCCCCGCCGGGGCAGCAGCCCTTCCCCGAGCTCAGCTACCGCGTCTGTGTGGGCTCTGACATCACCTCCATCCACAAGTACATGGTGCGCAGGTACTTCAACAAGCCCTCCAAGATCCCTGCCGAGAACGCCTTCCGATACCCCATATGGTCCACGTGGGCCCTCTACAAAAAAGATATAAAGCAGGAGAAAGTACTGCATTTCGCAGGAAACATTAAGAAGTACCGTTTCAACTGCAGCCACATAGAAATTGATGACATGTACACACAAGCCTATGGGGACTTTGACTTTGACCCAGTCAAGTTCCCCAATGTGACAGAGATGTTTGCAAAACTAAGGGAAGATGGGTTCAAGGTCACCCTGTGGATCCATCCCTTTATACACACAGATTCCTCTAATTTTGGGGTGGGAATTGAGCGTCAGCTCTTCATCAAGGAGCCATCAGGACGACTGCCGGCCATGGTGGAGTGGTGGAATGGCATTGGGGCCATCCTGGACTTCACCAACCCGGCAGCCCGCGACTGGTTCCAGAGCCACCTGCGCCAGCTCCGACACAAGTACGGCATCTCGTCCTTCAAGTTTGATGCGGGCGAGACCAGCTACCTGCCCAAGCAGTTCAGCACCTTCCGCCCGCTCTCGGACCCCAGCATTTGGTCACGGCGCTACACAGAGATGGCCATCCCCTTCTACGAGCTGGCTGAGGTGCGCGTGGGCTACCAGTCGCAGAACATCTCCTGCTTCTTCCGCATCATTGACCGTGACTCTATCTGGGGCTACGAGCTCGGCCTCAAGTCCCTCATCCCCACCGTGCTCACCATCAGCATGCTGGGGTACCCATTTGTACTTCCAGATATGATTGGAGGAAACTTCCTCTCTGGCAAGACAGATGGAGCGGTGGAGATCCCAGACCGGGAGCTGTACGTGCGGTGGCTGGAGCTGTCGGCCTTCATGCCCTCCATGCAGTTCTCCATCCCACCCTGGCTCTATGACAAGGAAGTGGTGGAGATTGCGCAGAAGTTCACGGAGCTCCACGAGTCGCTGGTGGCCCCGCTGCTGCTGGAGCTGGCCAGGGAGGTCACCGACACGGGGGACCCCATCATCCGTCCCATCTGGTGGATCTCGCCCCGCGACGAGGCCACGCACAGGATCGACTCCCAGTTCCTCATCGGGGACACCCTCATGGTGGCTCCTGTGCTGGAGATGGGCAAGCAGGAGCGTGACGTCTACCTGCCGGCAGGCAAGTGGCGCAGCTACAAGGGGGAGTTGTTTGAGAAGACCCCCGTGCTGCTCACGGACTATCCTGTTGACCTGGATGAAGTTGCTTATTTTCTCTGGGTTTCCTAAGAGCCTCCTCCATGAGCTGTGGAATGGCCTCAGGGATTAATGAACCAGTGACTTAAATGGCCTGGTAATTTTAATTGTTTATAAAGCAGAAATACTTCAGTATGAATTCTGAGGAAAACACCATGACCTTGTTTTGTGTGGCAAGTGCTGTAGAATAACTTACTTATTAAAATATATTGGATCGCTGTCCTTGTTACTACAGTTTGACAAGCACAAAATACAGAAACAGTTTCTGCTCGTAATCTTTTCCCAGCAAGAAATGCCTTGCACGCTTCTGGTTTACAAAGGAATTTACATGCAGCCCTTTGTTACCCAGTTTAATGGGTGATCGTTGCGATATATGTAATTTCATTTACTTGGTGAAGGAGGCAGTTGCAGCAGAGTATGTTTTTACCAAAGCAGTCTGTGATTATCCTAAAGATGAAGGCACCCAGTTTCCAGCCTGCTTGTCAGATGGATGCTGATGCAGGAGTAAAGGGATTTGTGTTTCCCATGGCTTCAGCTATCTGAGCAAGGAGAAAGAAGCTATAGCACGTGGCATGGATTCAGCCGAGCCTGTAAGCTTGTCCTGAAATTTCATGGCAGTCAAGATTAAAACCCAGCACCAAGGCATGAACAGGATAAGACCTAGTAGGATCCATTTGTCTTTTGGGACCACATCTACAGCCAATGTGTGTAACCTGTCAGGTCCCAGGAGAGGACTCAGCCATCATCCTCCTGAGAGGGTTCAGACAATTGGGAAACCAGCCCAAGTGCCTTGCTGCCTCAGTTTCCCCATGCCACCAGCTGTGTTGATGGAGATCCACATGAGCTGGCATCCTTCTGCTCATGGAGGTGACTTCTCCCAGTAGGTGTCTCAGCAGTACCTGCAGGCTTGAAGTGTGCACTCTACTTTTGGTCCGATTTTCTCTGGTTTTAGGCAAAGAGAAGTTTAAAAGTTACATGACTGAGCAGTTTAGGAACATCCTGGGGTCTCTGGGCTGCAATGCACCATCCCAAAGTGAGAGACTGATGATTCCTTTGCTGACCCCAGTATGCTGCTAGTAGGCACCTGAGAGGTAAAGCTGTGTGTGGCCCCAAGGCAGGAGAAAGCTGCTTTTTTTAGGGGTTTGCCCAAGAGCTGGTCCATATAAAAAGTAAATCGGAGCTGGAGAATGTCGTACTCACTCCAGAACTGGTTTGGTGCTCAGGTGAAGCATTTCAAAACCACCTCAGACCACTGTCACCCATCAGTGGGTCTATTATGCCATCAAGACCCTGCATGGTCACAGCAGCACGAGAGAAGTGCCATGTGGGATGGGCCAGAACATCTTCTAGATGCCTATGAAAGCAGCTGAAGCCACAGCAGTGCTATCACTGGTATGGTGATGAAGAAGGAGAACCGCACTTTAACCCAGGGATGCGAAAGGGAAAGCAGTCTCGCTCTGGCAGTGGTGTCCAGTGATCACACACTATGTCTGGTTCATTACCATGGGCTTTCTCCCACTCCAGGATACTGGCTTCCACTAATGTATCTCCCCTGAGGATGAGAAAGCATTCAAAAATGCTTTATCTCCCAGCTGCTGTTTTGAAACCCCAACGGGTCCCTGACAGCTGGGCTTGGGGTAACCAGTAAGTCTCAGACGGGCCCCAGCAAAATTCCTCTGGCTGTTGTTGCAACAAGAAAAAAGCTTCCTGGAAAGATGATGGTCATGGTGGGGGGAGAGATGGGAGAGCCAGGCTTCACCCCCATCAACTGCGGCTCTGTCCTCTAATCAGTGTGCTCCGTATGCACACACACAGCTCTTCCACTCACCTGCATCACAGGCTAGGGGGAATTAAACAAGCATCACAGAGGCTTCCTGCAAACTCCAGGGGTGTTTTGAGCTGCCTGGTACCATTTGGCTGAAAAATCCCTCACCCAAATCACCATCCCTTTCCAAACTTTCTCCCAGTGCCTTTTCCTCCTGCCCAGCCAAGCCACAGGGAGCCGCAGGGGACCAGTGCCAGAAGCACCCTGTGTGCAGGTGGCACCGTGGCCTCCTGTCTGCACTGGGGCTGTGTGCTGCCAGAAGGACATCTTGTTTGCCTTGCTAGCTTCAGTCCTGGCTGTTTTATTTTGCACTCCCCGCACTAAGCAAAGGCTGTTTCCTGGAGGTGCTGGTGACAGGGGACTCTCCCCAGCCCACTGCTCAGCACAGGCTGCCTGTTTTCTAGGGAAGGGAGTGTATATTGCCCTTAAATCTTTAATGATCGCTGAACAAAAATATCATCCAGTCGTACTGACAAAAATAATAATATCAGAATAAATTAAAATCACTGCTTTTCTCTACTTGGTCTCTGGGATTTTGCATCTTTATGGCTCTCCCAGTGTGAGGGATTTGCAGGCTGGCAGCTTCCATCCAGCTCAGGATGAGCTGCGATTGAGGGGGCTGGTTTTCGCCTGCGGCTGCCAGCCCCACGGCACAGGATAACCTGACTCTGCTGTCAGGCTGTCCTTTCACCATAGTGCTCCCCAGCCTTGGTTTCTGCCTGCCGATCTGTTGGTTTTTCTCTTACTTTTAATAAAAACTTTGATTTTGGGCAGGGATGGACATGCTCCTGGCCAGGATCTCATGGGTCAGCAGCCACTGCTCTGTTGTCACCCACAGGCACCTCCTTGAACACTGTGGTTTATGCAGTAACAGCAGGAAGGGCAGGAAAAACATTGTGTGGGGCAAAGTGGGTAGTGTGGGTCCAGGCAACTCTTAAATGAGTTTCACTCACTGCTTTTATGCCACTGCCATAGCCTCAAATGTCTACTCCATCTGGTAAGGGGGACCCCAGGGGCACTGGGGACAGGCAGAGCCTGGGTGGACACTCCTGGAGAACCCAAGTGAAACCAAGAGCAGGCTCCTCTTCTTCAGCACCTACAAACCCCCCAGTCAGTGTCAGTGTGCCTTTTTGGGGTGGATGTCAGCAGAAATAGGGGTGTGATGGTCTGGGACCCACTCCTGGGGGCAGTTGCAATGTGGGGGTTTGCCCGAACATGGTTTTCTCCAGCCCCAAAGAACAGTTATTCCCTTTGCTGTCAGTACACAAAGGAGGGTGATCCAGTGGGTTGTCTCCACATCCTCATCTCCTGCCACCACTGCAGACACAAGAGTGGGGTGGCTGCCAGCTCCTCCCTAGGAAACACACATCAAAGCTGCAAGGTGCAAGCTTTAAATAAACCAGCAATCTCAATTCTGATTTCAATGAATTCTACGGTGAAAAAAGCCCCAAGTCTGCCTGTACCACCAGGCCCATGTACTTGGTACAGATGGACACAGTCAAACTGCTTTTTGTTTTCCAAAATTTTATATCAATCAAGGCAATTCATGTTACAGTTCTGTCTTCATGACAATTAAGAATTAGAAAAGTGGTTAAAAACAAACTCACCAGCATAACAGTCCAACACACAACAGCATGTACAAACACAAGCATCCAGAAAACCCGATACACGACACTGCAAGCTTCAACCTTCAATCACGCAGGCAGCACTTCTGCCTGCTGCTCAGTGGGCTGGAGTGGAAAAGACTGAATTAGCTTCCAAAACTGTTTCAGCCTTTTCCTTGGCTGAGTCAAACTAAACACTGCTCTGGTCAGTGACCCATAGTGTCAATCACAGGAATCTCCTTAGTAGCAGTTCCCAAGGTGTCTGTGCACAGAATACTTGTGGTCTGTGAGGTCCCAGAGGTTCTCAAGTCCTGTAGTGCTACAGCATAGTGTTAGAAATAGTGGTTTTGGTAGAGTTGGATGGAAAGGGCACCTAGAAGCCTGCTGTTGAGGCACCACTGCTGAGACTCTCCCCAACATGCAGGGAAGGCTTGGTGCCATGCACCCACAGAGAGCCACCTATTTTTCAGCATCATCTTTTGTCACTTCTTGCCCTTTCTCCTAGCTGGAACACTGAATGTGCCCTAACAACAGCATTTAGAAAAATAAGGGTACTCCATAATCTTACCCATTTATTCATGTAGTTAAATAAAAGAAAATGAAAAGTTTGATAACAAAATCATTTCTTGTGAGGGGAAGGGAAGGAAGACAGTGTGTCTAATGGAGAATTTCCTCCATGACCTTCCTGCCAGTGCCCAAAATTACTGCGAGGAGATTGAAGGCACTCGTCTGGCTGCTCCCATTATTTTAATGATAAACGCATACTAATAGGAATGCTGTGTTTTCATTCACGTAGCCTCATGCCTTGTAAGTGAGGGATGCAATAGGTGGCACAGCAGAGACAGAAGAGAAGAAGACATGCAACATCTCCTGGTCACACTGGGATCCTTCCCATGAAGTCCTGGGTGAAGGATCCCACTTCTTCACTGGCCGATGAGCCATGCAGCAACATCTCCTCCACCCAGTGACTCCCATGCCAAAGGAGGACATGGATTTCACAAGCAAAGGTGGAAAGGGAAAAGATGGAGCCCCTCAAAGCGTGGCCTGTACGCATTTCTGGGGCTGGAGAAGCCTACTCCGCACCCTGTCCTCCTTGGAGGATGTGGTCAGATTCACCTCCAGGAGCTCCTCGCCTTCACCTGCACACTCCAGTCCAATGGCCAAATCCTGCCAGTGCCCTGATGGCTGAGTAGAGCTCCAGGATGAATTCTTTGGCAGAGGCTGTCCGTAACTTGTAATATAACCACTATTTGCACTGGTGGCAGGGAAAAACCTGAGTCCTTCATAGTTAAAAGCCACAAGAAACAGCCTTTGAGACATGCTTGTGCTCCAGCTGGGCAGGGACTACAGGGCTCCCCTGCATCTTATTCAGGCTGAAAAGCTGAATGATGCAGGGCAGATTCAGACCTCAAGGGATGCTCCAAAGAGTCCATCAGACTGGACTTCCTTACTCCCTAACTATGAAAGCATTTCATATTTGCCCCAAACACCTAAATTTCTATTCCTGGACCCCAGCACAACCCACCCCTAGGTTTAGTGCATTTCCTTCTCTGCCTCCTGCAAAGCCCAGTGTCAGGAGAAGGGCTTTGAGAAAAATCCTCACTACCCAACCCTAGCCAAAACACAGCACCATCTCCCTGGTTGGCAGACTCGCACCAGGCCCAGGCTCAGCCCAGACACAACCCCATGGGAAACCCCACAGATGCTGAACTCTCCTTGGCTGGCCATAGCCTGGCAGGGTGCCCCAAACCTTCCTACCCGACACAGTTCAGTTATACAGAGGCTCATTACAAATTCAGGGGCTGAACCATGCTCCCAAACAGGGCACAGCTGGGAATGTCCTGCCCTGGGCAGGAAGGCTTCCAGACCTCATTCCTGTTTTCTTTGTCTCAGAGATTGCCCACAGCTCTCTGTAAATGCATCTTCCCTTAAAAAGACAAATGGGAAAGCTGGAAAAGAGATATGTCTGCAGCTCCATCCTGGCTGCAGGGACTTTGAATGCAGGACCACATCACCCCATGTCCCCTCAAGCACCTCTGACAACAACCCCGCCTCCAGCACCACAAACACTGCTTAAGGAAGGTCCCTAATTCTCCCAGAGAGAGAGGAGGGCTGCTTCAGAAGAAAACCTCAACAAAATGATCACCTCTAACCTGAGACAGCGATGGATATGAGGTTAAATTCATGGTAGATGAGGACATTTCCGCGGGTGCAGCGAGAACACCCGCTGGCACAGACCCATCAGTGCAAAAGCCGGTGTTTTCCACCCACCAGCAAGCTGGCTAGCAGCAAACATCACCACCAACCCAAGGCGTGTGCCGCTCCCTCGCAGGAACTGGCTGTTGCCAGGGAAGAGCCGCACGTTCTTTTTGAGCAGAGCTTTGCTCCAGGCAGTCCTGCCAGCAACAAACCTGAAAGCTCATTTGTCCTTAAAACCCAAAACGGATGGTATCAGCAGGATAATCATGTAATGACGCGGGGACATGAATGCTTTATGAAGACTAATGGGGCATGCTGGTAGGGACAGTGCTGTTCTAGGAAACGCAATGTTGACACCCGAGGCAAAACACAAAAGCAACTGCCTAGCAGCTGGGGTTAAATGGGCAAGGAGGTGGGGTGCAGGAAGCAACACGCAGCTGGTACAGTTAATACCTGGATGTCACGCGAGTAACCTGGCCTGCCTGGTATCCAGGAAAGCAGGAGCATGGGGCAAATGTTAGTCCAGTGGAACACTAGACCAAAAGGGGAAAAAAACGTGCATGTGTATGCATCTCTAGTTTGTCTTCTGCTCTTAAAAAGGCCCTTTTAAATATACTTGCCTTATTATAAAACTTATGGCAAGCACTGCTGTAGCAACCCTCCCACGTCACACAATCCCATGTCCTCCCACGAGATAAGAAACATTCCCACTGGCACTAACCAACCTTCACCTCTTGAAATCCTTGCGAACTGTAAAGGAAATGGGTTTACTATGTGCCTGCAGACAGACTGATAGCTCCTTTTTGACCTGTACAGAGAAAATTCTGCATACTGGAACCCAGCTGGAGTCTCCCATATGAACCGAATTAATAGGAAAAATCACCCCCCCTTCAAATAAAAAAATCACCCCAAGGACAGTGAGTCCATTTAATTCCGTTCCTCATCCCCAGTCTCAAACTAAATGTGCAATTAGAATTGTTATGTATGACATAGTCCTAGGTAAGGCATGGTGATCCCCAAAAGTGACGGAGAAAGCTCTTAGGAAACCCAGAGGAAATAGGCGACTTCATCCAGGTCAACAGGATAGTCCGTGAGCAGCACCGGGGTCTTCTCAAACAACTCCCCCTTGTAGCTGCGCCACTTGCCTGCCGGCAGGTAGACGTCACGCTCCTGCTTGCCCATCTCCAGCACAGGAGCCACCATGAGGGTGTCCCCGATGAGGAACTGGGAGTCGATCCTGTGCGTGGCCTCGTCGCGGGGCGAGATCCACCAGATGGGACGGATGATGGGGTCCCCCGTGTCGGTGACCTCCCCGGCCAGCTCCAGCAGCAGCGGGGCCACCAGCGACTCGTGGAGCTCTGTGAACTTCTGCGCAATCTCCACCACTTCCTTGTCATAGAGCCAGGGTGGGATGGAGAACTGCATGGAGGGCATGAAGGCCGACAGCTCCAGCCACCGCACGTACAGCTCCCGGTCTGGGATCTCCACCGCTCCATCTGTCTTGTTGGGGAAAAAATTCCCCCCGATCATGTCAGCAGATATGAAGGGGTACCCCAGCATGCTGATGGTGAGCACGGTGGGGATGAGGGACTTGAGGCCGAGCTCGTAGCCCCAGACAGAGTCACGGTCAATGATGCGGAAGAAGCAGGAGATGTTCTGCGACTGGTAGCCCACGCGTACCTCAGCCAGCTCGTAGAAGGGGATGGCCATCTCCGTGTAGCGCCGTGACCAAATGCTGGGGTCCGAGAGTGGGCGGAAGGTGCTGAACTGCTTGGGCAGGTAGCTGGTCTCGCCCGCATCAAACTTGAAGGACGAGATGCCGTACTTGTGTCGGAGCTGGCGCAGGTGGCTCTGGAACCAGTCGCGGGCTGCCGGGTTGGTGAAGTCCAGGATGGCCCCAATGCCATTCCACCACTCCACCATGGCCGGCAGTCGCCCTGATGGCTCCTTGATGAAGAGCTGACGCTCGATTCCCACCCCAAAATTAGAGGAATTGTAGTTTATGAAAGGGTGAGTCCACAGGGTGACCTTGAACCCATCTTCCCTTAGTTTTGCAAACATCTCTGTCACATTGGGGAACTTGACTGGGTCAAAGTCAAAGTCCCCATAGGCTTGTGTGTACATGTCATCAATTTCTATGTGGCTGCAGTTAAAACGGTACTTTCTGATCTTTTCGGCAAATCGCAAGAGTTTATCCTGGTCGATATCATTCTTGTAGAGGGCCCACGTGGACCATATGGGGTATCGGAAGGCGTTCTCGGCAGGGATCTTGGAGGGCTTGTTGAAGTACCTGCGCACCATGTACTTGTGGATGGAGGTGATGTCAGAGCCCACACAGACGCGGTAGCTGAGCTCGGGGAAGGGCTGCTGCCCCGGCGGGGGCTTGTAGGGAGAGTCCTTGTAGCGCGCCTGGAAGAAGAGGGTGCGCTCGGTGGCGTTGAAGCCCAGGTGGAAGGGCACGGAGTCGTTGATCTTGATGGCGGCCGCCTTGGAGGAGAGCCAGTAGCGCTCGAGGATGCCGCCAAAGCTGTCGCGGAAGGAGTAGACGTCGCTGGTCACGTAGGGCACGGGCTCCTGGTAGCCGGCCAGGCGGATGGGCCAGTGCTGGGTGCTCATCTCGGAGCCCCCGTACCAGTGCGCGTCCTCCCAGAACATGGTGTGCTCCACGGCGGGGCCGTCCGCCAGCTCCTCCCAGCGCACGCGGTAGCACATCACCGTGTCCTTGGGCTTCACCGTCTGGATGAAGAAGTTGAGCGGCCCCCGGCCCGAGCGCGTGCAGCTCAGGATCTCGCCCTCCTTGGAGCACGACTCCAGGTCCAGGCTGCCCGAGCGGAACGCCAGCCGGAACACCACCTCCCCGTGCTGGTTCCTGATGACGAAGCCGTCCGCACGCAGGTCCATCAGCTCCGTCTTGAGCCGCTCCGCCTTCCGCAGGGACACCGTGTAGTAGCACCAGGCCACCACTGCGGCGATGAACAGGATGAGGCCCAGCAAGATGGCCCCGAGCATGGGCCTCAGCTCTTTGGATGGCTTCTGCTTCACTGGTGTGAAGTTCTCAGGCAGGAAGGTGTACATGGTGCTCCCTTTTCACTATAGCTTTTTGCAGAGGTGTGGGAAGGAAGATAGCTTTGCAGCAATCCTGGTGCTCTTAGGAGAAGAAAACGGGTTGTTAGGAAAGTTCCCACCTCCACTGAGCCCCACGGCACCTGTCTCTGAAAAAGAAGAGGATATATAAATAGTCTCAGCAGAACTTTTTAATCAAGGTATAGCTTGCCATCCATTTGCCGTCTCAATTTCACTAGCTCCCCTTGGCCCCTCACTGCCTGTAGCTGTACGCCGAGTACCAGATACCATCTCCAGTTACCCTGGTCAGACAACACGTGCAAAGAACACCCTTGAGCCACACGCGTATGACAACCCCAGGGCAACAAAGACCAGATCATTGCCATAATTACTGTTGCTTTGTTGGGAAGACTTTCAGTGGAGACAGGGAGCGGGTAGAAGGAGGATGAGCAGGAGATCCATCAGCCCCACTGACAGATTAAGGGACAGGGCTAACTAAGAGCCATGGAAAAAGACACCATATAATGAATTCCAGGCAGCATGCCTAATTTCAATCTAACTGCCTCCTTGGCAGATTTAACTCAGTTTATCCGCAGCACCATCCCCTCCCTGTCCCCGGCATGTCCTGGCTGCCCCAGCCTGCTGATGCTTTGCAGTGAAGGTGGGTAAATGCCCTCACCTCCACAGCTCCAGGATGGCCAGACAGGGCTGAGGAACTGGTGGCTCACTGCTGGTTTGGGGATTGCATGCATGGGGTGTGTGGAGGGACTGCATCAGCATCAGGATGGCTCGCTCCTGCCGTGGACACAGACCCCTGCAATGGCTCCAGATGGGAGGAAAGCTAATGTATTGGGGAGTGAGTGGTGCAGGGCCTCCAAAGGGCTCTTCCTCTATCCAGCACGGCTCCAGTCTGCTTCCCCTGTGTGGCCCCAGGGATGCGGGCTGTGCCAGGAGCCTAACGGCTTCTCCTTGGCTGCGGGCTGGTTGGGCTCGGCCAAGCACAGTGCCTGGGATCCAGAGGGGAAAAGTAAAGTAAGGACAGAGAGGAGTGAGAAACAAGCCTGTCTGCAGGAGCAGGGGAAGGAGAGGAGCTGTACGGCTGCAGACACGCCGGCCAGTACCTGTCAGCTCAGGGCAAAAAGGAGGAAAAAACCACTCTGTGTGGGCACAAATGATGCTGGTTGCAGTCACTCTGTCTGAATGGATTGTGGTTTTTAAAAGAGAGGAAGAAAAGGATCCAAAATGAAACACTGAACCCTCTCCCTGCCACAGGTGTGACAAGCTGGAGCACATTTACCCTGTAACTCAAACAGATCTGCCTCTCCAAAACTGGACAAGTAAAGCAGAAAGGGCACCTATTCCACTGTGGGTATGCCCCAGAGTAAACCCAGTGTGACATCTTTGCACAGGCTCAACAAAACATACAGCATTTTATGTTCATCTTGAACCATGTATTGGGCCAGACTTTGCAGCTGGGGATATTTTTCTGTAGCTGGCCGTGTCATTTTAACCTTCCCCTGGGAGCTGGTAACTTTCTAGACTGCCAGTTGCTTTAAATGGGATTACAGTGGCATTAGGAAGCGATTAGCCTGAACAGGCGATAGGTTTAGCTAAATGACTTGTCCCGTGTCCAAGTCCCACAGAGCCCTCACTCGCCAGCACTGAGCTTCAGCACGGGATGGGGTCAGCTCCAGTCACCCCTGTGTCACAACTGTGTCACCCAGAGATGGATCCTGCCCCCCAGGAGGGGAACGGAGCCCCCACCACCAGCATATGTGATGCGAGGCTAGCTGAGCCCAGCAAGAATTGGGCAATAAAGGCAGGGAGGAGATTGTGGTAGGAAGATGCTGTGATTGGGATAAGCCTTCATCCCCTCTATTAACCCCGCCTTGGCATTTAGAGTGAACCAGAAGCAGCGCAGGATTGTACCAGTGATGGTGGGAAACAAGGTCTGAATCATAAAATCATAGAGTGGTTTCGGTTGGAAGGGACCTCAAAGCTCATCCAGTTCCAGTCTCCTACCACGGGCAGTGACACCTTCCACTAGAGCAGGTTGCTTCAAGCCCTGTCCAACCTGGCCTTGAACACTGCCAGGGATGGGGCATATATAATAATTTAAGAGGCATAATAATACTATTTTAATGGGACATATATAATAATTGAAGAAGGGTCCTGGCCAAATCGGCACAGATGAGCAAAGCTGCAAGTAGCAGGATGCTTCTGGAAATATAGATCCCAAATGAGCTCCCTCCCTCTCAGCACCAGGAATTTTTGGGATGCTGGAGAGGGAGGTGCAAATACCTGTCACTACGCCTCTGTCTCATGCATGCGATATCTGGGGACAGCAACGCTCAAGGGGGGAAAATGTAAAATGCAGCCTCCACCAGGCAGGACTTGCAAATTATTTGGGAAAATAATTTTTTAAAGTTTTCAAGTTTTCAAAGAAAAAAAGGAGGAAATAAGTGGTGTTTTCTTTCCCGGCTCTCATTTAGGACTTTAAGTCCCCAGAATGGCCAATATTGGCACTGTGGGGGCAGCCACCTCCTCCCTCCATGGAAAATTTCTGGATTTTCTTCTCCCTTTCAAGAAACCAGTTTATTATTTATGAACTACTTTGAAGCTGCTCTATTTTTAGGCTGTTTCTTTCTTTTCCCTGCCATGGGCTGGAGCTCATGACATGCAAGAAGGAGCTGTCAATGGCACTGCCAGTAGAGAAGTAACGTGTTTTTTAAGACAGGTTTTGCAGTTTTGTGTGGCTCTTGGGCACAAATCTGCTCAGAGGGATGTGCAAGCCGGGTGTCTGAGCTGGTGGATTTAATCCTGCTCCTGTTGCTGTCTGGGCCAGGATCAAACCCCTGTGGCTGCCCTGGGCTGATGGACATCACCCACTTGGGTACCACTCCAATAAAGAAGTGAAGAAGGGTGTTTGCAGGCATCACCCAGCACACCAATGCACTATGGAGGTCTCCAAAACCCAGATCTGCTTTACACCCATCCAGTCCCTCTATTTTTTTGCAGTGTTAACAAAATGTACGTTCTCCAGTCGGTGATTTGGGAAGTCTCCCAATCCCAAGCTCCCTGGAGATGCCTCCTGCCTCACACGAGCTGCAGCCCGCAGAGGTGCCTTTGCTTATGCAAAGCCTGTTTCAACACCTTTTATCCTTAATGCAAACATGTTATTTTGCTCCAAGATGACATTGTGGTGACCTCTAGCTCCTCAAGGAAACAAAACAATAAAACAGAAAATGGGAGGGTTTCAAAGCCAAACAGCATGTTTGCAGCTTGCTGCGCTGAAGTGTCCCAGCTGACCCAAAACACAGCTTTTTCTTCCTGCTCTGTGGGAGCAGCGAGGCATCTTGCCTCAGCTCGAGGTGAAAGCAACACATCTGAGCAGGACACACTTTAAGGAGTAAAAATAAAACTCCATTTTTTGACCGCTTCTATTTTTACCAACACTGCTGCTAACCACAGGCTGCGAGACGCACAGCACCACTAACCCCAGCAACTTTGCAATTAGGACATTCGTTTAAAGAGGGTCAATAACATGTAATTGGTCCCTATTGCCCTGGCAGGGTCAGGTCTGAACCATGCTGGGGTAATGGTTGTGCCAGAGACACGTATGCATTTTGCACACCGGGATGCTGGGAAACCCTCCCCTCTGGTGCAAGCTGCTGCCACCTCCTCCCCAGACACCTTGACAGGAGTTGAGCTGAGGAAATGCTTCAGATTTCATTGGGAGGCATCTCCAACTCCATAAAAGAGCAGGGAATTAGGATGGGAAATTAAAGGGAAAATTACTTCTCTGCAGAACAGCTGTGGGGGTGAAAAACTTCCATGTGCCCACTCTGCAATCTGCCACGCGGGACCAGCCTTACAAAAGGGACTTTGCAAACCTGAGATGGGGGGATGAGCAAACACTTCCCATGGGTTCAATTTCCCTTTGAGGGGTCTCTAGCAGCACTGGAGTTCTCTTTAAGGCTTTCTGGAGTGAAGTGCGAAATCACCATTCCAGACACTTGTCACTGATGGGAGTGGGTAGGACAGACAGGGGCACTCCGTACCAGAACAGGGCACAGGGCTGATCCCCAGACTGCTCCATATACACCCCATGAGCTCCTGCCATGGGTCAGAGATTCCTGACCAATTCCTCCCCCAGCCCCACACAGCCAACCACAAGGATCACCTCAAGTACTGCACAGGATCACCCCAGACCCCTGGGTTTGTCCCTGCAGCGGGGTTAATGTGGGTGACAGAGACCCCCAGCCAACGGCAGTGACTCTGCTTTAGCAGGACAGGGACAGTGTGGGGGATACAGTGCCCCCTTCCAAAGGGATCCCCACCTTCACTGTCCCTGCTGAGGTCCCAGCAGGAAATGACACTGCCTGGTTTAAAAGGCTGCGGTAGGGGTGCAGTGGGGTCACTCCTGCAAAGTGACCCATGCTTGCTCTTGGGGCTGCCGCTTGCATATCGCTCAGGTGCTAGGTACGGAAAGCCCTGAGGAGGCAGCTCATCCCACCGGGGACCTGGAACTGGTACTCACCCATCCATTGCCTCTCGGGGATCGCTGCCTGCCGCCTGCCTCCACCACAGATGTCTTTTTAAGCACACAAAACCTGATTGCTGCTACGTCTCCACATGCCCACCAGCTCCGTCCTCTCCATCGCTCAGGGTGCCTCGGGGGTACGAGCTGGATGCGGCCCGAGCAGCGTGTGTCCTGGGCAGGAGGAGGGGACCAGCACGTCACCGGCGTGTTCCTCAAGCACCGTGACGGATGCGTGAGCAGCCAACCCTCCGGTCGGGGTGTGCTGAGGCAGCTGCCGCAGACATCACCGTGCTGCAAAGGGCATGAGCACTCCGAGATGTGGGATTCAGGCTGGCATCTCACCTCCCTGCCAGGTGAGCTGGCAAAGGCTCGTCCCCTCTTGCATTCACAGGCTCTCCGGAATCAGAAAGCAAAGTAAAAACCAACCTGGGGTTTTGCTTCTTTCCTTTCTCAAGTGTTGTGGTTTTAAGCAGAGTCATGATTCAGCAGGGTAACGAGGGTGCCTTGAGTGAAAGGAAACAAGCAGCCCGCGCTGCTGCTGGCTGGTTTGTAAACCAGGATTAAACAGCACCGGGCACTCAGAGGATAAACCCCAAATCCGAGGTGGCCACGTGGGTACAGAGCTCATCTGCAAAGTGCAGACAGGCTGACAGCACCCTGCTCCATCTGTGAGAGCAGACAGGAGATTTGAGGCTGTGGTATTAACTCTGTCCAGCCTTAAATACATTCACCTATATCGTAGGAATCATCAGTTTACAGCCCAGTTATGTCCCTTAAAGCTGCCAATGTCAAGGGATGCTCCAAACCCATTTAGACACCTCATCTAGTGTCTGGCCATGAATACAAAAAAGTCACTGGAGCCAGCTGTGGCAGCAGATGACTTAATATTTAACATCCCTGACAATTCCCCCTTTACAACGCCGACTTTGTTCTTCACCCTAGCAAGATGAAGTTTTAGTAAGCTGGGTTTTCACTTTAAACCTGCATACCCCTTGCAGTGCTGCCCGCTCATGACTAAACCATGACCACGGGCACTTGCTCTGCCCTGCCTGGAGGCACATCAGTTTGTCTGAGCTGCAAGGATTTATGGAGACAGAAAACAAAGTGAGCTCTCCTGGTCCAAAGTGCATTGGGCACGTGGGAGAGAAAGCTCCAGTGCTCTCCCTTCAAGGACATATCTGTATTCACCTCGGAGATGTCCTACAGTACCTGGGGGAGCAGGAGGCAGCCTAGCCCCAAAGCTGCAGTCCACGGGGGAGCCCTGAGCCCAGCAGCCAGCTCCTAGGCACTTGTGGGGCCAGCGTTTCTTGGGGAGGCACCCACTAAACCCACCAGCTTGCACCTGACAGTGGTGAAACACCAAACACAAGGAGTTCTACATGCCAGCATACTGGGATGATATAAATCTGAACCCAAAAAGAGAAATAAAAGCAATAACTGCAGTATAATTTCAGCGCTGCCATCAAAGGAGCCAGGAAGAAGCAAGTTGTGGCCCAACGGGGCTGGTCCAGCAGGCAGGCTTATGAACCCCCAGTGCAAAGCATCAGTCTGCTGTTAAAAAAAGCATGACTATCAGGTTGAGGGAGGTGATCCTGCCCACTCTGCTCTCGTGAGACCTCACTTGGAGCACTGTGTGTAGTTCTGGTGTCCCCATCATAAGAAGGACATGGAACTGTTGAAGCAAGTCCAGAGGAGGCCATGAGGATGATCAGGGGACTGGAGCACCTCCTGTTATGAAGACAGGCTGAGAAAGTTGGGACTGTTCAGCCTGGAGAAGAGAAGGCTGTGTGGAGACCTCATAGCAGCCTTCCAGTATCTGAAGGGGGCCTACAAAACTGCTGGAGAGGGACTCTTCATCAAGGACTGTGACAATAGTACAAAGGGTAATGGGTACAAGCTTAAACGGGAGATTTAGGTTAGATATAAGGCAGAAGTTCCTCCCTGTGGGGGTGGCGAGGCACTGGAACAGGTTGCCCAAGGAAGCTGTGGCTGCTCCATCCCTGGCAGTGCTCAAGGCCAGGCTGGACAGAACCTTGAGCAACATGATATAGTGTGAGGTGTCCCTGCCCATGGCAGGGGGCTGGAACTGGGTTATCTCAAGGTCATTTTCTACCTAAACCATTCTATGATTCTATGATTCTATTAGCTTATTTCATTTGCCACATGTGCCATGTATGATACACAGCCATGAAGATTTTGGTGTCTTTTGCTCCCCCAGTCCACTTCCTGCTGGTACAAGATGTGCATCATCTACCACTCTATCACTCCAACAACCTTCTCCCCAGTGCTGCCACCAGCATTCATCTCACTCTTGCTCGTCTCCATCCTCCAAGACAAAACCACCCCACAGTGGGGCTTGGTGCCCCATTTTACTCTCCCCAGATCCCTTCTTTAAAGAGCTGATTCAGCGCTTTGGGAGCGCTCAACATTTCAGATGCTGAGGCAAGTTGAAACACAAGCTCACTCCAACATCCAAGTGCTACAATGCAATATGGGGAAGACATGGAAACCTAAGCACATCCCTGTGGCACAGCCCCTGCAATTTTCCAGACATCAAATCACCATGAAACTTCAGCTCCAGAGAGTGGCAATGGAGCTGAGCTGGTGACTCAGGACTCCAAATTTGCATCTGCATACAACCGTCAAGAGTGCTGGACAACCTTAGGCCCAATGCAATCATCAGTCCCTTAAAGTGCTTCCCCTGGCAGCTCTTTCGTGTGCAAATGCAGCCATGCAGACGCAACCCCTCAGCCCTCATCCCCCACCGGGCTGCGGGTACCTGCTGCACCAGGTGCCCGTTAGGGGATTCCAAGAAGGGAAGAGAAAGAGAAGGACGGATTTGTGCTTTCTAAACCAGTTTTGGCCACTCATTGCCTCTGCCAGCACTTGCTGATGGAGGACCCGTCCCAGAAAGCTCTCCAAACCCGACCCAGTACGTTGCACAACGCGCTGCAAACCCCATCTGCTCAAGTTTTCACCGCCGAGCATCTGTCTAGCGGCAGAAGTTGGAGCCGCACCTTGCAAGTGGAGCCGGGGACGTGTCTCCGGGCTCTGTCAACGTTCTCCGGGCGGCAAGCCTCCTCCTACCCACCGCAAGAAACGCTTGTGCAGCTCCTGCACCCCGGAGTGCGGGCGGCTGCCCCGCATGGTCAGGGTGACCGTGACCCCCCCGCTCCAACGGGCCCCCCACTGCCTGCGCCCTGCGGGACCGGGCACCCCCGTCTCTGCCTCCAGCCCCAGTCACCCCCCCCCCCCGGGGCCGCGCACCCCAAACCCGCCCGGGGGCTGCTGCATCCTCCCCTGTGCGGGCTCAGCGCCGGGGGCCCCGCACTTACCGGCAGCGGGGCACCGGGGCCAGGCGCGGCCGGCGGCGGCTGCAGCGGTTCCGGGGTTGGGCGCTCCCCGCGGCGCAGCCCCGCCCCGCCTCGGACCGGCCCCCCAGGAGCGGACCGGCCCCCATCCCTGCCCGCAGCTCCCTGCGGGGACCGGCGGTTCGGTCCCGGTCGCGTTGAGGTTAATAGCGGGGGGACGTCCTGTTTGTGTTCGTGTAGTGACGACGTGTTTCTCAGGCCATAGACCTTGGGGAGAAGCCAAGTGGGAGCTGGCGTGACCTAATTTGTACTTTATTTTTAGGGGTATGTTTTGTTTTGGATGAGTTCGCTGTTGCATCTAACCCCTCACCCTCTCACAGGGTGGGTGGTTTGATTTTGGTATCGATAGCGGGATATAGGCGGTTATTGAGTTTGGAGGCTTCTTTTCATAGCATCACGGGAAGGTTTTGGCTGGGAGGGACTTAAAAGCTCATCCAGTTCGAACCCCCACCCACAGGACACCTTCCACTAGAGCAGGTTGCTCCAAGCTGCTGTGTCCAACCTGCCCTTGAACACTGCCAGGGATGGGGCAGCCACAGCTTCTCTGGGCACCCTGTGCCAGCGCCTCAGCACCCTCACAGGGAAGAACTTCTTGCCTAAGAGCTCATCTCAGTCTCCTCTCTGTCAGGTTAAAGCCATTCCCTCTTGTCCTGTCACTACCTGCCTTTGTGAAAAGTCCCTCTCCAGATTTCCTGTAGCCTCCCTTTACATACTGGAAGGCTGTATCTTTTTATATCTGTAGTATGATTTATGGTTTATTTGAATAGCATGTTGGAGGGTTCTATTTATTCTTTCTCATGGCAACTGAGCCTTTTCCACAAGCCTGGGGGGATTGACGTGGGTATGGTGTAGCTCTTCATGCTTGTTGTGGGAGTGATTACTGGGGGACTTGTTGAGAACGGAAAGTTAGTACTGCTGATAGTGGAGGTATATTTTTTGTTCTATTGGATTTTAGCGGGGTGGCTGTATTTTAATCACGTGAAGTGGGAATACTTTTAGTGGCAGAGTGAGACCTGTTGTTAACTCAGTTTGTCATGCTGGAGTTTGTGCCAGGTTTATCTCCTGGGGCTATTTGGGTAGTTTAGGGATGGGAGGGAAGGAGGAACAGGAAATAGTTTAATGCAAAATATCAGCTTTGGGAGTTGCGGATAGAGATTTAAGTCCTCTTATTTTTCTGAGCTGTTTAGTGGAACTATAGGAAGAGGTGTAGTCTTCACTGTTTGGTTTACAAGTCCAGTGTTTTCAGAGAGCATTTTAGGATTTTAGGATTTAGTATTTTAGATTTTTAGTATTTTAGGATTTTGTTTTCTATTTTGTTGGAGCCACTGGGGATGCTCCCAGGAGCTTGGGGATGGGGCTACCCTTGTGGCTGTGCTGGGGGCACTTGGGGTTTGGCAATGGTGGGGCTGTGCCAGGAGGTTTTTCGGTCAATATGGGGTTTTCAAGGGTTTTTCCCTGCTCCAAGCAGGAATGTGGAGCCCCAGATGGCTCTGTGCTGGATCTTCCTTACCGTGGGCACTGCAGCCTGCGAGTGTATGTTGTGCAGCACACGTGAAAAGCCCTGGGTGGTATTGCCTGTCGACACTGGGCTCCCAGATCATAGTCACAGAAGGGCATTTCATGCCTTCATTAATTATGTGCTGCTTTCAAATCCCCCTCCTTATTTAGCCTGTGCTCAGTATCCCAGACGGATGGCAGATCTTCCTGGATAACTTGGCAAAAGCAAGCACGCCCTGAGCAAGCAGAAAGCTGACAAACACAAGTGTCAGTGCCTGACTGCTGCTATTTCTGTCTGTGTTACCGTGCTCTGAGAGCGTGCTTTCTTGGTCTCCAGTTTGAGGGTGGTGGCAGGTACCAGCCCCTGAGAGCTGTGGAAGCACTCCCTGAAGTTTATCGCCCATTCCCAGGAACTTGCCCAGCCTGTAGGAGAGAGCCTGATGGGAACTGCTGTTCAAGCCAGTTTTAATGAAAGCTCATCTTTGCTCTTCAGTAGGCAGGAATGTACGGATCCTTGGACACAAACTCAGGGTGGATGGTGTAGCTGGCTCCCTGGACTCCTGCTGTATTTCTGAAGAAGCCTGTGTCCCACCTATAAAGTTATCAGCCATGGGAGGAAAAAACTCCAGTGAGGAAGAAGAAAAAAGAAGCTATGCCAGTCACAGAATCATGGAATAGTTAGGGTTGGAAAGGACTGTAACATCATCCAACACCCTGCCATGGACAGGGACACCTCACACTAGACCATGTCACCCAAGGCTCTGTCCAGCCTGGCCTTGAGCACCACCAGGGATAGAGTCAAGGAAAATCTTCCTGTCTCTTAGTGGAGGAGACCTTGAGAAACACCTCTCTGAGGTTCAGGCTGAGGGACAGCTTTGGGGAACCCAGTGCTTCCTTTTTGTTCTCATTTGGTTTTAGTTTCTGGGCACACGAATTCAAAGCCGATCATGATTTCTGCAAAGCCTGATGCCTAATTTTTGCCACTGGGGTATGGATGCAGTATCAGAGTGATGGTTGAACAGCCTCCCCTCTTCCCTCACTGCTTTCCCAGTGCTGAAATAGCTGCCTCAGCAATGGAGACATCCTAAAAGTAAACATGAGAGGATTAAAAGGTACTGCTGGACCCGCGGGGGTAAAGGACAGGGCTGATTACCATGTAACGAGCACCATGAGCAGGGAACAGGTTCTTGGATGAAAAGAGCAAACAAAGACAACAGAAAATACAAGAATGGCGCAAGAAAAAATGATGTGGTCCCAAAACCAGGGAGATGCAAAGCTACGTGCAGCCAGGCAAGATTTGGGGTGCCATACAGTCCACAGCCCAGCACCAGGGTGTCCTGCCCTCCCTGCTCACATCCAATCAGTGTGAGAGATCAAGTGCAGTGGCTGCATTGCCGCCTGCATGGACACTGTGGTGGGACCTGCTACCTCTCAGGCTCTGCAGTCTGCACCATTGTCCCCAGGATAACCCTTTGGGTACTTGTGTGTGAAACCCTAATGAAGGGAGAGATAGTGGCTGGCTGGCATTCGTTACAAATGATAGGCTTTTCCCTAGGGCAACTAGCATGGAGCAGTGCCCCACTGAAGCTGTACGCACCTAGGCATCCTGCACTGCGAGGATGGCTGGTGGCAATGAGCACTGGCATAGAACATTGCTCTGGGCCTCTGATGGTGGCATGGGATGGTCCTGAAAGAGACAGAGGAAACAGAGAGAGCGGTGGCCCCGAGAACAAGGGAGATCATGTCCATCCAAAGCACAGAGTGATTTGGTTTGGAAAGGACCTTAAGATCATCCAGTTCCAACCCCCCTGCCATGGGCAGGGACACCTCACACTAAACCATGTCACCCAAGGCCTCGTCCAACCTGGCCTTGAACACTGCCAGGGATGGAGCATTCACCACTTCTCTGGGCAACCTGTGCCAGGGCCTCACCACCCTTACAGTAAAGAACTTCCTCCTTACATCCAATCTAAACTTCCCCTGTTTAAGTTTGAACACATCACCCCTGTCCTATCACTACAGTCCCTGATGAAGAGTCCCCTTCCAGCATCCCTGTAGGCCCCCTTCAGATACTGGAAGGCTGCTCTGAGGCCTCCACAGAGCCTTCTCTTCTCCAGGCTGAACAGCCCCAATTTTCCTAGCCTGTTTTTATATGGGAGATGCTCCAGCCCCCTTAATTATTAACATACCTCATCCCAAGCCATCCCATCCCATCCCCTCCCTCCCCAAGCCATCCCAATCCCATCCCACCCCAAGCAAAGCCATCCAAACCGTACTGTGCTCTCCTCTACTGCAAAGAGTTTCTTCCTGGTGGCAGGTGTCCCATCAAGGTAGCAGTCAATCCCTCGCAGGCAGCAGTGGCGCCCAGAGCAGGGGAAGTAGTAGCTCTGGAAGGGTATCCTCCCTGTCACGGTGTACACTGGCACCCTGTGCATCGTGTCAGCAAGCACCACATTCTCTGAAGCAGAGGGACGGTGATGGAAGGTTAGTGGTAGAAGCAGCAGTCAGCCTGTCAGCCGGATGGACACTGGTATGGTACAGGCAGAGCTACAGCCGGAGTACAGGGAGAGGGAGAGGGTAATTACCATACTGATTGAGGCAGGTGGGTCTCAGGGGGCACATCACGGGTATGCTGTACAGCCGGGTGTTCATCCTTGTCTCCTGCAAAGAGCAATGACAGCCTTATCATGATCGGCATCTCTTTGCTGCAGAGCCTGACGTCCAGCAGACCTGATGTGGCTCCAGTTTTGTGGACTCAGGAGGGGTTGAGTCTACCTTGGGCAGGAGAGAGAGGGAAGAAGATTCCATACTCCAGGCTGCAGTGCTTGGACTTGTTCTCCAGGACATGTATTTGTTTTCACTGGCAAAAACTGGCCTGTACTTCTCTGCAGTGCAAAAGTGACAGCAGTGTCCAGTGGTGCTGGGGACAGCCTTGGTCCCTGGGGGTTGTGGGATACCAAGATGGGGTCCCCCCAGGCAGCACCTACCACCAGGAGATATTTGGGGGCTATATAAAGGGAGAACCCTGGGGACTTGTGGGCATGGCTGGGACAGGGACAGTCTCAGTACAGGGATGGGGGTAGGAAGCTCGGACAAAGCCACAAGTGCAGATGCTGAGTGTGGGTCCCTTTATCACCGCAGGAGGGGATGAGAGATCTAGAAAGGGGAATGAACAGAGCCCCTGTGCACATCCTCATCCCCCTTACCCCATGGGGATGTGCCCTGTGTGACTGGGGCACAGCTGGGACCTTGGCAGTACCTTTGGATGTGAAGTTCCCAGGACTGTAGGCAGCGGGGTACATGGTGCTCTTGCAGTACCCCCGCACAGCTGCCCTCAGATCGGGCGGAGCTTGGACTGTCGGGCTTGGCCCCGGAGGCATCGTTAATCCCTGCAGACAGCGGCAAGTAAGGAGAGGCACCCCGGCCGTGTGGCAGCGTCTGCCTTCACACATCAGGGCACACGGAGATCCGAGCACCAAGACTCCCTTCGCGGTGGTGGGTACGGGGGTCATAGCAGCACTGTGATCCCACCTCCCCAGAACGAGGGACGTGGTCTAGTGTGAGGTGTCCCTGCCCATGGGAGGGGGCTGGAACTGGATGATCTTTAGGTCCTTTCCAACACAAACCATTCTATGATTGTATGATTCGACGGCTTGGCATCACTGGCTCCTTTCCCCCTGCACGCAGGCTGTCCATAAGCATCCGGCCACTTTGCGGGCTGGGACATGGTGTGGGTGCACTGGGACTGGTATGTGGCCAGCAGAGGCTGGGAAGGGAGTTACAGGACCAAAGCAATGTCCTACAGCTGGCAAGCCCAAGAGGACTGGGGTCTTGCTGGGCAGATGGGTGCCCTGTTTGAGCGAGCCATTTCTGTCCCTGCACAGTGGTGACATCCCTCTCTGTGCCCTCTGCTGGCTCCCTTATTGTAATGCACATGCTAAGGAGGCTGCATCGGATGAGCCAGCTTGCAGCGTGCTCTTCATCGCAGCCTGTACAATTACAGGCACTGAAGGGTGGGGAAAGATACGTGTCCCACAGACACCCCCTGCAGTGAGGCCACAGCTCAGAAATCCCTCTTCATCCAGGACCAGCGCTGAGAAGGGGTCATTTGGTGCTCAGGTCTCCCCCTGTCCCTTTGCTGTGTGTTGGAGCCACCCAATCTGCCCCTCCATTGCCACCCTGTCACAGCAGCAGCCCTGGGCTGAGCCCTGCCACTGCCTCACTGTTCTCTGCCTCAGCAGACCCTGCCCCTGTTCACTCTGATGGGCACTGTGAGAGCTTGCAGAGGTGACGGCCAGCCTGAAGAGCCTGAAGCCACTGCAGGGTGCAGCTCCAGGGGACAAGCAGCTAGCAGCAAGCAGTCTCTGGGTGTCAAACTCTGTCCCAGCGAGGGAGCACAACCCTCCCACCCCCATTACACACATGCAGCAAAGCACCCCATGAGTCCCTGAGCCATTGTCCTGCCTGGCCTTGAGCATCCGCAGCTGCACAGGGGCAGAAATGCTGAGGTCTCCTCCTCTCACAGCACTTACCTGTGTCAAGAACTTGTTTTCTTTCCAGGTCTCCACCAGCCTCCGGTCAGAGATGGCGTGTTTGACAGAGTGCGGCGGGCGGTAGGAGTCAGTGTAAGTGCTGACGGGGGTCTTGTGCTTTTTGGAGAAGAGGAACATGGTGCAGCAGCCTGCCAGGATGGGAGCGCTCGGAGCACCAGAGTGTGCAGGGGATGCCCTGCTTGGATGTGCTGCACTGCACGGGGCTGGGGACTTGCAGCCAATGCAGGAGAGGGAATAGGGCTGGTGGCACTTGGTTCTCTGCCAGTCCAAGGTGGTGCTTGTGTCATCAGTGACGCCATAATGCAGGAGCAGGGGGATTTGGTGTCTGTGTCAGTTCTATGACTATGCTCTGGTTTCGGCATAGGCTGCACCGTCCTGGCTTTATTCTGGCCCCTGCTTCCTCCCCTCCTGTAGGCAATTACCTTAACAATGGTAGGAAACTGTTTCAGCTGGTCCTAGTCAAGATAATTTTATTTTGGGAGGTGCACAAGCAGTGATTTCGGCCTTTCCAGCCCCTCTCTCCCATATTTCCTTGGAAATTCTGCAGCAACCCAGCTCCATGCACACAGCACCACACCAATGCCAGCACACATCACCAGGCACAGTGGTACCCATGGCTCTTGGAGAGAGGAGAATTATTGCCTGCTCCATCTCTCCTTTTTAATTAAAAAGCTGGATTCAGGTGATCCCGTGTGGTTTGTTTGCTATTGTGTCCCAAGTGATGGGTTCTGCGGGCAGTGAGTGATCCTCATCCACCTCAGCTGCGGAGAGGCAGCTGGGTTATGCCAGGGAGGGATTTGCATGAAGTGGGTTTGCTTTTCCCTGCGCTAGGGAGTGGAGCAGAACCCCTTGTAGAAACCTGGCTTGTCACACAATGCCAACTCAGAGCCCTGCTCTACTCATGCCTCTGGGCCTTCTGCTGCATGTCCTTGGATATGACCAGTGAAGACCCATGTCCATCTTGGCAGGCTGAATGCCTACCCCTTTACCCCCTGGAAGGGCTGCAGAGCCCTGCTCTGTTTGCTGGTAGAGCTGGGCAGCCTGGATACTGTCCTGGGTTCAGCAGTAGCAGTCATCTTTTTCCTTCTTAGTAGCTGGTGCTGTGCTGTGATTTTGACTTTCAGCCTGAGAACAATGCTGATAACACCGATGGTTTTAGTTGTTGCTAAGTTGTGTTTACTGTGATCAAGGACTTTCTGAGTCTCATGCTTTGCCAGGGAAGAGGGGAAGCGGGGAGGAAGCAGAGACAGGACACCTGACCCAAACTAGCCAAAGAGGTATTCCATACCACAGCACGTCATGCCCAGTATACAAACTGGGGGCAGTTAACTGGAAGAGCCAGATCACTGCTCAGTCGGGCTGGGTATTGGCTGGCGGGTGGTGAGCGGTTGTATTCTCTCCCCTTGTTATTTATCATGATTATTATCGGTGGTAGCAGCAGTGGCTTGTGTTATACCTGAGTTACTGGACTGTTCTCATCTCAACCCGTGGGAGTTACATTCTCCTCCCCATCCCTCCAGGAGCAGGGAAAGGAAGAAGGGGTGGTCGTGGGGGGGAGTGAGCAACTGCGTGGTTCTGAGTGGGCTTAAACCATGACATATGGTCTAGTGTGAGGTGTCCCTGCCCATGGCAGGGGGTTGGAAGTAGATGATCTTAAGGTCCTTTCCAACCCAAACCATTCTGTAAGTCTATGATTCTATTATCTGGGCAGCGCCACTCTGCAGAGATGTGGACTCTGAGCCTCCCTGTTGAGGAGGGATTAATCCTGCACTGCACCGGCTGCCAGCATGCGCCACTGCCTCCCTTATGGCTGTCTTCTGCGGTTTCCAGGTGTTGGACTTTTCACATTCAGTGCTTGGCTCTTGTGCCAATGGCTTTGAGGGGCCAAAATGGCTTCAATGCTGGAGAAAAGGTTATTTCACCCATTGATATCATACAGATACAGCACTTCTACTTCTGTCATAGCCCAGACACACAAGCATGAGGGCTGGCACCCCCTGATTTCAGTATCCATGACTGCCGGGGGTCAAGGGAGATGGTGCAGTTCGTATCATCTAACCTCGGTTCACTCCAATGAGAAAGGCTGGCAGGCTGGTTTTCATATGTATGCTTTTTAATATCATTAATTCTGTTACACTACACACAACCAGTAACAATGATAAATACTGCAATGGAAATGTTAAAAAAAATATTATACATGTTTCATGATTTTGGGAAAAAAAAAACCAAAACCAACCCACATTTTTTTAAAATAAATTAATGCATAAAACTGATGGTAGAAAAAAAGAAAACCCCAAACAAACCACAACACAAATGATCTGTTTAAGGCAATACTCTACGCAGACAGGAACAGAAGTACAACAGTGTGCTACATGTTCTGAATGAGAAAGAAAGAGAGAAAAGAAAACCTTACAAGATGCAGACTGATGCTTGCGGAGCAAAAAATCTCCCCAAGCCAGCTAATAAAACCAATGGCCAAGTTAAGTGCAGCATTAATACGCTCTGCATGTCAAATGATTAGCAGGTTCCTAACACAGACTAAGGTCAAGCTACAACAAATTTATCTTCCTAATTAAAAGGTTATTCAGGTCAAACCCTACATTTAACTCTACTCTGCATTTGGCTGTTTCAGCTATGTTTCACTATATGCAACGACAGCCGGAAATCCATCTCCTGCTCTTGATTCTAACGCAAAGGTCAGAAGGTTTCTCCTCCTGAAAGATATTTCCATTCCACACATCCAAAAAGGATCTCTCCTTTGGTGATCCCGAAATGCATCCCATCACCCCCTACCCTGGGCACTGCACAGGGAAAGGAGACCTGCGAAGCATTTGCTTGGGTTGAGTTCTTCCCAAGCTGAGGACATGAAATGGAAGTACAGTTCTGATCCGGACTTGGAGTGCAGTTTCCCTGCCTCCCATAAATGTCTGTCTGGAGCCTCCTGAAAGTGCTTTGCCAGCATGGGAGAAACCCTGCCTGTATCCAGGTTCTGGATACAGCCGCAACATTTGCCGTTAATGTTGGTGTGAAGCTCCATACCTGCCTGGACAGCCAATGATCCCCGATTATTAATGCAGCCCTGAACTTGGCCACTGAAAGGTGGACTATAATCACAATGCCAGAAAAATCCCCCTCTTCTTCAGGAAAGAAAAGAAAAAGGACAGCAGCCACTTTCTGCCAGCTTCCCCCAGCGGATCCCCATCAGCTGCCACCTACACGAGATGAGCAGTGCAAGATCTCATCAGCATCGACCCAGTACATTCCCAGTAAGGTGCATGTCTGCAAGGTGCTGTCAGGGGGCAAGGAAGCTTCTTGGGACATGGTCAGAGCCTCCTGTACTGCCCTGCTAGGGTGTGCATGAAGCTATGGTACACAAGGAAAGAAACCCAAGCGGAGTTACTAGATGATGGCCAACAACTACTTGAGGCTGCCTTGGGTTTGAATGGGAGAGGGGGATGCAGAACTGGACTGAGTCACTTTGGTGCAACTGCCTCTGATGCTCATCACTAGTGCATGTGGCAGGGAGGAGGAAAGGCAATGACTGCTTTGAGAAAAGAGATGGGAAGGACATGTGCAATATAACAAGGCTTGCAATTCTAGGACTAACCACTGGACACGGATACCAAAGATTACCTGTGACAACTAGCTATCCTACCATTGCTGCTCCTTCCTCCACTTCTTGGTTTGATTCTTCTTCAGTTTGGGAAGCTGTGGCTGGTTGGCATGATGGCCAGCACTGACTCTCCTACCCCAACCCTGCACAGCACACGTGGTGACTCAGCTACAGGATGTAGAGTGAGGTCTGGAAGCTGCATGTTCAGCACAGACCAGCTCTGCATGCAAGCAGCACCTGCTTTCAGACCCTTCAGAAAGCTTTTTAATGGTGGCTCGTTTCCCTTATTAAACTGAAGGTTCAATAACCTCTGTGGAAGGAGTAAAAATGGTTTAAAAATGTGCAAAAAGGGAGGGGAAAAAAAGCAACCTTCTGAACTTACTCCTCTGCAAAGACTTCATCCTCTGCAAGAGTCTTTCTCCCTAAAGAACAACAGCCCTACCAGCATGCCTTACAGCATCCTGTGGGCCTCAGCACAGCCCGCAGGCATCCCTCCTGTGCCTCTGCTGCAGGTCTGCTGCCTACACCATGACAGCACATGCACTGTCAGTACTGGGACGTGGTTTGTGGGTCCCAGACCTTCTGCATCTCCGAAATGTCGAGGGTGAAGGCGGCTGGCTCAGCTTGCTGGATCACACCAAGTCTTCACATGGGCCTGGTGAACCCTCAGCTCCACAGCCTTCAGGAGGGTAAAGAGAAAATCCCAGCTTGCTCCCTGGCTCACCCACCATCACACTTGTTGGATCTCCCACTGGTCTGATGTTTGGGTTTGTCTCAGCTACAAGATGAACACAGCTGCTACTGCAGGTTTTCCATGTGAAAAACTGAGCAAGAAGTCTGTGAGTTGGGGATGGAGGTGAAGATCATAAAACCCATAAAGACTGTTGTGAAGAGGTTGTCCAAGTGTTCCAGCCCTCTCCATGCGTCTGTATTACATCTTTGCGTCCCCCAAATCATGCAGGCTTGAGGAAGGTGGGTAACAAATGGACTCACAATATTTTTTGGGGTGCAGAAGCAAGAAGGCAACCTGGGTGGAGAGCAGTGCTTTCCAACGAGCTCACCTGGGGGAGCTGGACAGGCAATGAGCATGGGAATGCTGCTCCAGGAGGGCAAACATCTCAGCAAGTAACAGGACTTACCTCAGCATGGCATTTTGTTGGCCTTTTCTTTTCCTGGTGCCTACTGTGCTGGTTTCCAGTGACATAATGAGTCTTCTTTTGTACTTTCCACTCCCTGATGCAGTCCCACCACCACCTGTATAACTATCTTTTACTATAGAAATGGCTGCATAGACCAGGCACAATCAGAAAAGCTGCAACCACTCCTGCCAGTGTCTGCATGGCCCATGATGCTCTGCTCCATGTAATCTCAATTAGTCCCTGGCTTTTGCCTCCCCAGCAAGCTGTCAAAGCACTGCTCAGTCACCATTTAGCTGCTGTGGTCCTGATATTGCCACCAACGTCAAGGCAGGCTAAAGAGGGGATGTAGCTGTAGATTTTTGGAAGCAATGCCTCAGCTCAGCTGCAAAATACAGGGAGCTGAAATATGGATGCCAGCACCTGTGAGAAACCTGCACTAATCTTCTGTAGGTAATTCCAGGTCACAACCAGTTCCTCTATGCTAAATTCCTGGTCCTTCTGCTTCAGGGCTCGTGTGCTCTGTAACAGATGTGGCTTTGTCTAGTGAGATGTTCAAGGTTTGGAGCAAGTCCTCTCACAGGAGAGCTGTGAAAGGAAGTGACAAGGACGCAGTGTTCTCCTAGAGGTAAAAACGCACCTCAAAATCAAGACCTTTCCATGCCTTCCTCTTATACTCAACCTAGCCCGGATTACCCTATGCTGCTGCTCATCAATGTAGATGTGAGCCTATGTGACCCTAAAAGGAGAATGAAAAGTGAAGGGGGAGTGTAAGCAAAACTGCCAGTCTACATCCTCACACAGTGTTAAACTGCCAACTGAGCCCTTCAATGCTCTCTTCCCTCTCATAAGCACTCTCTGTCCCAGTTGTTCTCCTGAATTCCTTAATTCTACTAGCAGGGGATGGAGCTGTTGGGACACCAAATCTTCTTACATGCTCCCTGTGGCATCATGCAGATTGAGAAGCCAGTTGTGCAAGAGCCAGCTGCCACATAACTGGGAAACACATGATGCCAAATATTTAATCTCCCTACTAACCTCTACCCTGTCACATGCAAGCAACACCAGAAGCTGGTAAATAGGAGGAAAGCAAATTAGTGCTTTGAAAATATCCATAAAATGTCTATAGCATGCTTTTTACATCTTGCTGGCACAGCTACCCTATCAGTGGTTCCCGTCACACATTTGGCAACATCCATGCAGGGTGGTGGTAGCACCTTCAAAAGGCAGGTTTCCTGCCCATTCCTTTCTGTGCTGCAGAAGGGAATGGACATCAAGAGGGTATGTGACTTGCCTGAGGTTAGAGCAAATGTTTACCATGTGCCAACAGCAGCAAGGGACTCCAGATCTCATTCCCGTGCTCTAACAGTCCATCAGATTCTCCACAGTTGTATTTGGCTGCAGTGCTGGCTCGGGGACACGGTGTTTCTGGTGTGTGCATCTGAAAGTGAGCTTTGCTCCCTGCTGGTTTCACCACTGCACTGACATAGATTAACTGGGACAACTGGGATCTGCCCTAGGCCAAGACAGCACTTGGCAACCTTTCTAGTTACTGCTTGTTTTCCCTTTCCTGTTGTTCCATCTGGTGCCCAGCTGGGTCCTTCCTTTCTTCAAAAGCATCTTCATGTTTCTGTTGAGTCACACACAGGGAGCTGTACTTTTCAAGCCTCCTGCCTGCTGTTGTACATCTTGCAGGCCAGCCTGAGGACAGACTCTGCATGGAGAGGAAACGATGCTGCTCAGTATCATGGATCAATGTGCCAGCCAGCAGGCAGCTGAGCTGAGTGGGTGCTTCCTTTTGGGAAAGGAGCTGGAGAGACAAACCAGAAGCAGCTGAGTCCATCCTGTCCATGTGTGAGCATCCTGAAGTCCCTTTGTAAGTTCATGCAGCAGGCTTGGTCACCTGCTTTTGCAGTCACAAGGCATCTGCAGGCAAGACATCCAGAACAGCATAGCAGACCCAGCGACCAAGCATACATGTTGGGGGTAGACGTGTAGCAACATCAGATATGATCCAGTGGCTCTTCCAAGGGTTGGATTCAAGATATGTCCAGTAGGACATCAAGCAAACCTTAAAGATGATTGCTTGAACATCAGCCTCCTTTCAGCCAAAGTTTATTTACAACCACTATGACTAAACCATGCTATCTAAAGACCTTCCTCACACAGACATCTGGAAATAGGGAGTTCGTGGACAAGAGTTAAGTGCTGAGACACTGGAGTTCAAAGCCAGCTTACATTAAAGAGCAAAATTATCATGTGATAAAAGGAACTTTGCTTAAACTTGAGCAATTTGGTGACTGAAATTACATAAAATCCTAACAAAAAGCCAGTCTGGCTTTAGGAGGAATCAAATGCAAGTTCCTTTGTGAAGACACCAGATCAATATCCTTAAATCCTATTTGCATGGTAATTTAGATGGACAGCAACGTCTTTATTGTGCTCCTCTCCTTGGTATTCTGTACAACTTTGGCCTGAAAATGGGGCCTGAGAAGACCATATGGTTTGGTGCAAAGACTGGAATACAGAATAATTTGCTTTTTTGCATGCAACCTGCATTTAGGAGAATGCCTAGCAGCTCTGCAGATTCTAGGGCTTTATAATACTATGACAGAGTCAGGGCTTATACTCTTTGTTTTTCCAGGCCATGGTGGCAAAGACTGGTCTAAGGAGAGCAGTGCCAGAATGGCCATGTACCTGTACACCTTCCCACAAAGTCACTACAGCATAACCTGCACTGAGGGCACAAAGAAAACCTTCTGGCAGAAGCAAACGTCTGAACATGAGACCAGACAGGGAGAGCCAGCCTTATCTGCCATTAATACAGACTGACAGGCTGTCCACCACATTCCATAATGAGCCAACAAACATGCCACATGGTTGTAACCTGCTTAAGGGGCTGTGGTTCAGAAGGGTTAGTGTTCAGTTTCCTATGATAGCCACATGTGCGTTGCCTTAATCCATTCAGCCTTCCTGGTAACGACCCTACACAGGTAACTACTTTTCCCCACCCTTTCTACTTTATCCCCCTGATAAAATATACGAACACAAAGCATAGAGAGGAGAAGCCAAAAAATTGCCATTTTATGGTCCTGTACTGTCATGCCAAAACAGCTATTTGTGCAACCAACTCCTTCTGTGTGTGCACGGAAAAACACTTGGCCTGTGCTTTGGTCTGTATTTGGTGAAAGCACTGGCTGTAACATTTAAATTCATCTCCCTCCCTCCCTCCCTAAAGGGTTGTGCAAGAAGTAGATGCACATTACACAATGCAAAGGGCTGAGGGCAGGTGCAGGGTTGAGGAATGCCTCAGGGCACATGGCAGGCAAAAACCAGCAATAGGGGCAATAAAAGGACTTGGTCATGGTGCCATGGGGTTATCAGGGAAGGTCTGTCCTTTGGAGGGGAGGTGTTAATCCTGGGAGACACAGTGTCAGCAAGCCTCATTCTGTCTTAGGCCAAACACGATGGCAGCATGACACAGACCTGTGGGACCTGCAGCCCTCCATGGCTGACCCATGTAAACAGATGGCTTGTTGCTCTAGCAGGCACACCGAAATGCTCCTGAGCAAGGGCTGTGGGAAAGGCGCAGTGTGTGCAGCCCGGCTGGAAGGCACAGAGACTGACCTAGAAGGATAAATGCGATGTAAAATGCTGCATGGTACCAATGCTGGACTGCAGAGTCCCTCTTGAGAGGAGTGATGATTTCAACAGACTGGGTCATGTCCTACAGGGTCTGGTTTGACCATGGTGTTTCTGTTAGATTTTGACTACGATCCCCATTAAAAAGACTCCTTAAGGAATGTTTTTTCTCTTTTATCTTTTGTCTCTACACAGTGTTGTTAGAGCTCTCCCTCCAACTCCAGACAACTTGTTAACTTCATCCTAACCTATTATGTATCCCCCCAGCATTACCAAGTGGTGTGAAAGGGAGAGGAATTCACTTGAGGAACACCCTTCCTAGAGGAGCTGGGAAGTTAACCAGCACTTCTGCATGAGGAGGCAGGGATGCTTGGTAAACAGCACCACTCAGTCCTCTTTCTGTGTTCTGGAGCCAGGGTGGCAGCGTGCTATTTAAGGGATGGGGGGCCAAACATAGCTAACAATTTTCCATATCAGCTAGTGAACAACAGAGCCCAGAAATCATTTGTGCCTGCTCTTTTGCTCACACGGTGGATGGTGTTGTGCTTCACGCTGCACAGACTGAAACCACAGGATGTCAAATAAATCTTCTCCTAACCATGAAAAGGATTTCTTACTCAGCTCACTTCATGCAGATTTCAGATGCGGGATCTGTCTGCAGGGATGGAGCTCAGGCTCTGCCTTGTGACTCAGGAATTCTGATGGGAAGCTCAGAACTGCCTTTGCTTTTTCCCTTCCCCAGGCAATAAAGCAAGTGATACCCACGGCAGGCAGTCCTTCCTCCTGGCAGGACAGAAAAACACACAGTTGTGGCAAAAGATTTCAACACGGAGAAGAATACCAGCCCATCCATTGCCTGAGCCCCACACATGCTGAAGCCAGCGATGTAAGACCAGCCAGGAGAGGATGTATTTCCTAATTCCAGAAATTATGCTGCATTCAAAACAATCTGCTGGTGAACTGGCAATCCAGTCCAGCAGATGTAATGCTAGCTCTCCTGACGATTCCAGCAATAAGTAAACACAATTGCTCCTGATATGGGACAGCTTTAATACAGAGCAAGCATGGCTCACAAGTGGGCAGAAATGGATAAACAGTAGTTTCCTCTCATGGTTTTTTTTTTCAGCTGAAGCTGCTTATAATCCTGCTGTTGCTGAAAACTCCCCTAAAGTCTGATGCCAGCACACAGATGCCTTCAGCCTTAACAAATCTCTCCCACAGGCACCAAGAGGTGCAGTGTCAAGAGAATATCAATAGATGAGTACTGTAAAAGCGTGCTTTCTTTAAGTAGCTTTTCCAGCACTGACCTTCAGGCTGTATGGCTCCAGACCTGTCTCATGTAGGACTCACTTTTTCTTAGTTGAACAAAGTTTAAGATTTTTGGAAACAGATGGGTCTCATGGGAATTAAATAAAGGCCGGAGTCAGTATATGTGACTGGACTGAACTCAGGAGTACGGTGTTCTTAGGCAAGGACTGATTCCTCAATGGATTGCAAATCAAATTGGATGTGTTTGGTGATAATTTGATGTGAAGCTAAGGGCAGATTGCACTGGATATGTGACACGACCGTTAGTACTGACTCACAGTGAAATGCTACCTATTTGTCCTCTTTACAAGTGAACAAATTGTGCCATGCTAGTCCTGGCTAGCCTTGCCATGAGAAAGGATGCTCTGCTCATTCCTGCGCCCCAGTATCATTGCAAGTGAAACAAGGTTAGTGAATGGATTAAAACCCAACATCCTCTCACAGGTTAAACCTCCTGGCTCCTCAGACTCACCCCTGATCTTGCAGATGGATTATTTTTGGTGGGGCAATTACCTGCATCCCCATCTGACCCTTCCCATTCTGTAACAGACACCTTACAAAACATCCCCAGTGCCTACACAAACCAAGGAGGCATCTCTGGACAACTCTGCATTCACTCTCCAGACCAGTCAGTTTTGCCAGGCACTGCCTGGCGCTTTGAGCAACTTTTGTTTAACTATAATTTAAAATAACTTATCAATCAATCATAAAATGCATTTTTTGGTTTCTCCTGGCTCCATGAACACAAAGAGGTGCACGTCCTACCATAGGAGGAAGCAATGGCTGTTAAGTTTTACAGTTATAGTGGAAAGCATTGATCACAGCCTGCCGGCCTCACTACTGGATGTGACAGGCGGTGGAGGAGGTGGCTTGGCAACACATGCAGGTAGGGTTGACCGATTTAGGGGGGATTAGGTCGAGGTCCTCGTCATCTGGGATCTCATCTAACCGGTACCCATCCTTTAGCAGCTGGATGTTCAAGTCTTGGTTGATCTGCTACAGACAAAGGGACAAACAGTCAAACACTTGAGACTTCTGATGGTCAAAAGGTGAAGATGAAGGAGGTCCCTTATTCTGGAATGCACTCCCCCATCATTAGCAGCTGAGCCATCAATGAAAGAATCCCAGTTTTTGACCACAGGTGAAGACTGCCTTCTCTATTCTAGCTTCTTCCAGAATAGGAATATCTATGTCTAGACTGAGATAATCCAGAGGTCGATAAACTATTATATTGTGGGATAATCTTTTAATGAAGACAAACCTTGATTTAAACTGACGTAATAATAATATTAATAAACCAACTGACAGTGAGGCACCCGTCTCACAGACTGGGGCACCCTATAGCACTTGAAAAGTGGTAAACCCTTTTGCCTCTTTGTAATCTCAGTTTCAAGAGCTGTCTAACCAGATCTGGGTGAACACCACTTTATCAGGGCCCACAGCTGGCCCAGATAATTTGATCTGGTCTCTGCTCTGGATGAACACACCTTGACTGCCCCAAGAACTGGAAATCACAGCACACCCTCAGAACCTTTATTTGTATCCTTAGCAAGCATATGGCTTCTAAGCTGGCACGACAGCCAAGTTGATGCTTCTGTACCACATGGGCCAACACCGCAGAACTGGGAAAAGCCTGAGTGAAGCCAAAGGTAGCTGTGAAAACAGCCAAAAGGCAGATCTCTGTGCCACAGAAGTGTGGGGATGGAGCCAACTGGATCACCAGGGAAAAAAGAAACATGACACAATTTCTGCAATGGTCCCTTCCAGACTCACAGTCTACAACTGCTAGTAAACTGTTGTGTAGCCATTTCTGGCAGTACGAGGCCACTTTAAGATGTTTCTGGATGCTCTACTATTACCATTCATGGCAAGGACACATAGGAGAGTGTAACTCACCTCAGCTGATGAGTATCCCGAGGAGGAATATCTGGACATGTCAAAGTCATCATCACTGCAGGGAAGGACGAGACAGAGCAAAGAAGGGAACATTTAAAGAGACCTGTATTCCCTGGTTAGACCTATCTGTCTCACGTGAAACTGTCCTTGAGGCACAGAGAAGTTACCTCAAGGGGGCCTGGAAAGCAACTTTCACCTGTGACCCTCGTATGTTTCCATCACAGTGCTCCTTACTCACATCTCTTCCTACTTGTTTACACATACAGACGAGGTATGGCATATGCCAGAGGGCACAGCAAGGAAGAAAATGAGTGGTGCACAAAAGCAGTTTCTGCAGGAGTTACCTTCAGTTCTGCACTCTGGCACGAAAACTTTCTAGCTCCATAATGTATAGCGTCTTCTTAGCACTTTGCATACCTGTCTGTATCCAGGGCTACCAGTGGCTTTTCATCTGGACTCTGGTCTAATGATGAATAGCCTTTATTGGGAACGACGAGCCTGAAACAATTAAATGTCCATTAACCACACAGTAAAGCTCTGTACCACACACAGTCTACAGCAAAGCTATATGACAGTTAGACTTTCCCCATCCCACTTCATTGCAAGCCCTCCCTTATCAATGAAGATGTTTAAATGGGTGCAAATTACAGAAAGCAAGCTGTGTCTCTGGGCAGCTTTGCGCAATTTCCCACAGATGAATGCTGGACATGTGCTGGGAACATGCTCTTCCCTGGTTAAATAAAACACTGGGACACTCCACCCTTCATTCTGGTGAATTAGCACTGCCTGTCTTATCAGATTGCTGGGTTTTGTGTTATTTTTTTCCAGCAATGAGTACATGACACAAGCAATAAGTAAATAGGAGAAGGAGGCTGCCCAGGGAAGGCAGAGGCCCAGTGCTCCTGCTATTCTACTGCTGGAAATCAGGGATGTAGTCTTTCTGCCTGAGTCCCTATCTATCCTCCCACAACTGAACTCTTCTGAGGTCTCAGTCCTAAGTTTAGAAATATGAGATGTATGAGCTGGTGGGTGCAGCATAACAGCCCACTCTGCCTAGCACTTTTCCAAATCCCATTATCTTATAATGACTTTCACTTCATCAGGAGTGTTACAAAGTCTGACAATGACTTTGCACCTTTAATAGCCTGAGAGCATGTGTAAAATGGAATACAGGCTTCAGAGCTTCTAGGATAAGGAAAATACATTAATACAATGGTATCTAGTTCATAACAGGGTTCTTTCACCCACAGAAATGCACAAAGACTTTGGTTCATATTTAACATAAGATCAAACAAACAAAGAAAATGGAGTGAGATTCTGTGTTCAGCAGGTGGGAACCGTGGAAGTGATGAAAATCAACTTGTTCAGTGGGTTAACTCGAGTTCTCTCCCAGATGAAGAACTGGTCTTCAACAGCATACAATGATGCACAGTGACGCTTCACTTAGTTTGGGAGGTAGAAATTTAAAGGTGATAATCCATCTCATGCATGCTCCAACTGCTCTCTAACTACCTGAAATGTTTTTCTGCTTCTGCTCAGAAAATTTCAGGAAGCCACTACAATTTTAGCAATACAAAGGCCTGCCAGGAACTGAAGAGGAGTTAGAGAGAGTCAATATATCAAGTGTTATCACAAAGCAGATATATAGGTTCAAGACTACTTGTATTTTCTTACTGTGTTGATTGAAACACAAGATTAAAGAAATCAATTTACAAACTGATGCATCATTTCCAACTTGCTGCACCAGGGGACTGAAGAAAATGGGACCCACTTGCAAAATTCAATACCCCTTCTCATAGCACTAGGACGATTCTTCTGCTCTTGAAGCACATAGGAAGGAACTCAAGAAGCAAAGAGGACTGAAACAGAAGATGTGAGCTGGCAGCAGCAGCCTTTCCACACAGATATCAGAAGTATTAACTTCCATTCTCGCTCTCCAGTTTTCAAGTCTTTGATCCATATATACTCACTAATGATTGTTACTATACCAACAGTGAACAAAGCATTATCAGGGGATCAAAGAGAAGAACCCTTTCTGGTGCTACCTATTTAACTAAAAAAAAAATTAAAAAAAATCACTACATCTTTTTCTTGAGAAATATCTTTTTTTGTCCTCAGTAACATAGAAATTCAGTCTTTCTGCAACAGACAAAAACCATGATAATGTCTCTTTCCCTCACATCCTGATTGTCCTTATTTTTGCTTCCCACTGCCCTTCGAACAAAGCTGGGTAGCAGTTGTAGCTGCTTTCATCTGCAACTGTCCCAGTATGAGCTTCTTGTCTCAGTGCCTTTGCTCACTTAACATGAAATATGTTATGATATATATCTGAGTTTAGGTTATCCTCAGAGTAGACTGCAATATCTGGCTGTGCCCAAGTGCTGCAGGCTCTGCCTGTGCTCGCAGCATGTGTGCCAGCATCACCCCAACCTTGGTCACATTTTATTTGCTCTTAGGGAGACTGAGTGTATTACTGATCCAGATCCTTTCACCTCTAAGGTTGGCTGTGCGCTTGCTCCAGGAGAAGAATGAATGGTGAAGTCAACCTGGAACTAGAGGCTGGATGTCAGAAATCCATACAGGTAACACAGAAGAACAGAAGCCTCGGGGAAGGAGGAGGCGGTGGAGTAAAGACTAGAAGAGGCAATGTGGTTTGCCTGAATGAAGGAAAACATATTTGATGAGAACAGCAGAACTCTTACAAGGGGGGAAAACGGCTTTATTTATTTATTTATTTATTTAATTTTCCTCCTGCAGAGACCAGAGAAGGCTGACAGTTAAGACTAGAAACATAACCTGGATGTTTTGCAGTGTATCTTCTGTTATACTGCAACCTTTACACTGTGAAAAGAAGCTGCTTGAATAAACTTGTGCCATGTCTGCACTCCCTGGGTTGCCCTGTCTGTGGCAAGAGAAACTGAACCATTCCCAGGTATTACTAGGGCTGTGCTCATGGTACAGCTTGGTTCCCAGAAAGCCAAGGAAGCTGAGGGATGAAGGCACTTGGACTGGTGAGACTCTGTGCCAGAACCTCCCAGTCATATGGGAACAACGGGGCTGGCTAAAGCAGTGGCTGCAAACCTCAGTTTTGCAGATCCCAAGGGATGCTTCTAAAACGATGTGTGACAAGTTACTAAGAAAAGCAAGGCTAGCGCCAGGAGGCTATGACTGGCTGTGGAGGGGTCTAAATGTCTTCTGAACAGTGCTCACGTGTCCCCAGTGGAATAAAACTTAGCTGCTTGTTGGAAAGCTTTTGTTAATAGGTGTCACTGTCACTGCTTTGCTCTTCCCCACTCAAATAACTTCTTTCATCAGCAGTTCGGAAACAGCCTCTCCAAGCAGAAGTCACTGATTTTACAGGTAGGCATCTGTACTTATTCCATCTTCTCTCCCTCTGCTAATTTCAGTGCTTCTGAATCTCTCAAGTGACAAGTCTACTGTGATTTCTCCTGGGAAGCTAGCACACAGCCTATTGCCAAAAGAAGCCAAGTCTTTCCAGCTTGTATTTGCAAGACAAGGAGGAAGAGTGGGCATGGAAAACCCTGCATTTGCTGAATTTCTTGCTGCCACGAAGGGCCTGGCTCCTTTGTATGGTCTCAACTGCCAAACTCAGAGCCGGGAGCAATGCAGTATATTCCACCAGCATTGCAGAGGCTTACAGAATAAAACTTGACAAAGTGCTGGCATGATTTATGACTACTAGTTTGGGTTTAGGGAATTAGTGAAACAAGGTACTTTATCTGTTGGATGTGTTGCATACAGAGAGGGTCTGACCTGCAGCTCCTGTTCTACTTAATACATGGTAATCTATGCAACTTTCCCGTTCATCAGTAAATAGCGTTCATGCAGATTCTTCTGTCTTTTTAAGTGAGATCCTGTACTAAAACTTGCCACCTTTCTAACTGCATGCAAAGCATGCAGTCCCATGGGCTCAGGGGGGTTCCTGCCTCCTGAATGCAGGTAAGTCATACACTGGTGTACTGGAGCTTGCACGAAAAAAATGGAAATACTCTAAAGCAAAGTATTCAGCTAGGAATCTTTGTTCACAGCGGTCTGCAGCACTGTCTAATACTGTCATACAGAAATGTGCCAAAGCAGCTCCAGCAAAGTATGGCCATGCTATTCAAAGTGTGGAGGAGGTATATGGCAAAGCCATATGGCAAAGACATGGATTATTTACAAGCCTTAATGAAGTCTGTCAGTATGTGGAAGGGGGCACACTGAAAAGGAGCAGGGGTACCACTGTGATAAAAGCATCCAAAGCAGAACTAAGCTCTAAACCGATTTGTGTTACATGAAACAGCATCGCGCCTCTCCAACTGGCAGGTTTACATGGTACATGAGGCTACACAAAACATGCAAGACAGCCATGTCAAACCCCAGACTTTGACCAGGCTGGCCTGCACTGTCACTGGTCCTGGGCTCAGCTGTCCCTGCAAATCCCCAGGGCATGGGAGGCAACACAGCTCCAGGAAGGGCCAGCACTGCTTTCCAAATGTCTCTGGCAGGGGTCAAATGATGATGAACATGACCTTGCCCATTCTAAGGCCATTAGGGATTGCAGCTTAGAGTTCAGCTGAGTCCTTTTCAGTCCCTTACCTTGTTCGTGCCATCACGTTGTTCTTCTTGGGCTGCTGATTAACTGGGCTTCCCATGTTGCCATTCTTCAGGGAGCCCTTCCGAGCCAGCTCTCTCTGCTTCTCTGCACATGGGATACAAAGGGAAAAGCAAAATCAGGGCAACAGCCTAGCTGGCCATCATACAGCTGTAGAAATCCAGATCTGAAAGGTGCAAAAGGCATAGCAGAATGAATAGCAAAGTATGTAAGCTATCCATCTCCCAAGGAGGGACACTGCAAGGGCAGGATGAGCTGTGTCCCACTGTGTCCAAAGTCACTAGGGGTAAAACTCATGTACCTTGATTCACAGTAGCTTGTTGAGAATGCCACATTAAGATGATCATGGAGCTTCTGGATGAGACCCAGGCCCAGCTGAGGAAGAGAAAGGGCAGAGAACTTGTCTGTACCTGCACCCACATGCTGTATGGACCAGAGGACTGTGCTTTGTGCCAGGCAAGGGAATTTATCCTTCTACCTTTTCTCCTTCTACTGAGGCTGCTGCAGAGAGGACCAGTGGGGACAGAAAAGCAGCACCATCATTAAGCGTTAGTCCAGCCCAGCTTGACACCATGCCTGAGTTACTACTGTTTCCCTAGACAGCAACTCACCAGACCAACACACCCTACAGCAGAAAGTGTTGCTGCCTTTCCTGCTTCTCCTCCTGGTAATCTGTGATGTCCCCTGTGTGCCTCTCTCTTTTATCTCACATTGATTCTTGGGAACATGCTTTCTTTACTAAAAAAAAACCAAACAAACAAGCGAAACATTTTGCAACTGTATTTTTAAACAGCATATTGTTCGCATAAATTTTCAGATACGTTTTATTTACTGCTGAAATGTACCTTAAAGCCATCAGAATGGCAAACTTTATGTATTCAGTGTAAAAGGGGATTTAAATTAGCTTCTCTTTTAGGACAGATTGTTTATTTTAACTTCTCACGACAGAATCACAACTAGAATTCAGGTCCTAAAGCTAAATAGGTATGCAGTGCCTGTTATTAATACAGCCCTGACTCCAGCAGGGATAGGAGCCCATGGATGATGAGGCTTTCATACAAACCCATGTTCAGCTTTCTGATTCAAAGTCCTTCCTTGTTTCCTGTGGGCAGTCAGTTGAGTTGAGTTAGCAATTGCAAAAGTGGAGCTAACTGCCCCAATCTCATCCCAAAACACCAGGCAAGGCTTGTAGGTAAAAGCTGAGTGTGGAGCCGGTAAGGCAGGAAAGGGACCAATTAGAAATATTCTCCAGAGCATTGAGAAAACGTTGATAACAAATTTGGTGGCATGCCTGAATAATAGGGGTTTACCAGACTGCTTGCTGAGGAACCCGAATAGTGAATTTGTTTTGCTTCCCCTGCGGTGTGTGGAATATGCTGCTATATTGCAGATTTCATTTGCCTTGGAGAGGCAAAAAAAGAGCAATTTTTCCCCCCTTGCTGTGGAAAAGCAGCATGCCTACCAGGGTGTGCCAGTGCAAGGTCTCTGTTCCCCCCCTTACCATACAGGTAAGAGTAGGGGGCACATGTCCAAAGCTGCCTTTTCTGAGGGACAAATAAGCTGCAGAGATGCCTCATGATGATGAGAGTGGCTGAGGAACCTGCAGAGAAGAGTACATACCCCTACAAGCCATGTTCAGCTCTGCTGACAGCAGAGGTGAATAAATGCTCATTAAACTTGGCAGGAAAAGGATTGGATTAATAACTCTCTGTGGCAAGAGCAACAAAGACTGATATAAGATTGAAGTCAAAACCTTAAATCAGGGTAATTTCTCTGGACTGGAACTTGCAAATTCATTGGTTATCTCTGTCTCCAGCATAAAAGGCTGGCGTTTTGCAGGCCATGTGAATTTTGGTATTCAGACATAGAGGAATAAAGGGTGATTCATGGAGGCAAATGTGCACAGCCCTAAATACAACACAACTGTCACCCATTCACACCAGAAGCTCCATCACTGATCACAAATACACTGTGCTGAGACACCATGCCAATGCTTTGAGAGGGTGTATATCATATAGAGCACCTGACTCAAATACAAGGCTACAGGTTTCATTTTCTGTCAAGGCAGTTAAGGCCTGTCTGAGCCCTTTAAATGGAATGGCACTCTCTGCTGTCTATTGATTGCCTGGTACAAGCACTAACGCTCTTCTCCAACTCAGATTACTCATTCAGCTGATCAATCAGGACTTTCGCTAAGCGCCTTCTTCCTTCAGTAGGTCTCTCCATGACTATTTCTGTGCTATTACTGAGTGCCGTCACACCATGTGGGTCTGAACAGCACCAGATTTCCTATTTAACCCTTTCTTTCGCTTGTTTAGTGGCTTGGAGTGAAAAATCCCAATGCACTGTGTTTGCAGTAGGAACACCCATGCTTGTGTCCCCAGCCAAATTTCTTACGCATGAATCAACAGCTCATCTCACTCTTGGATGCTATGAATCCTGAGGCCCTAGTGGCTAAAATGTGATTGCTTTCAGGGTAGATGGGAGGCCTACTCAGCCCTGGTGTGTCAGGAAAAGTTCCTAACACGGTGGGGATATGCATGAGTCACGTCAGGCTTTGAGGCAAGGGAACCTAGTATTTGAGCTTTACAAGTATTAGGAACTACTGCTGCTTCCACCATCACCCGAGGGAGCTTTTGGGTGCCCATCTCTTGCAGTAATTCTGGGCTATAAATTCCAGCTTTGCACACCAACCTTCTGGTCCATCCAAATGGAGGAAGGAGTTTTTCAGTGCCTGTTTTCTGCACGGTGCTTCCTTCTGGTGTAGCAGTTGGAGTTTGCAAACCCTACTGCTAGGCAGTGAGCTCTTTCCCTCTGTTCTTTTAGAAATTGACTTCTGAAGACGTTACTTTCAAGGTCCAGCACTTTAGCAAACCCCCATAATTTCACAAATTAGTATTTCTCATAGCAACTGCGATCAGACACACACCCAGGAAAGAAAAGACAAGGTGAGAGAAGGAACAGCAACCTACCCTTGATACATAAATGGCATTTTTCTTTAGAATGTGTCCCATATTGGCTGATGCTACGCCCACATAAGCATGAATCCTAAGCTCGCAACCCTCCACTGACCCAGTTGTGCTAAGCTTTGTATGAAACCTGGCAACTGTGTATATGGGCAATTCACTGGGAATGAAAAGCCAAGATGCTCTTTCTTTTTGGGCCATCCCAGACTCTCCGATATGGTAGTCAGGCATTCCGAACTGGACTTAGATGAGACCTGTGTTCCCATGTGCCTCCACCAGCCTCAAAGCAACTGCTTAGCTTGAAACACTGAGAGCATGGTCCCACCAGAGGGGATAGGCATAGTCTGTCTTCAGCACTTGGTGGTTTCTGGTGCTGGGTATGGAAAGGGTTTCCATGTCTGTGACTGCCTGTGTTGCCTGCAGTGCTCCAGTACTTGTAGCAAACTTTGAGAAGGCAACACAGCTTGATGGAAAATGGATGCTGGCCCTACAAAACTGCCTAATTCTGTACAACTTTTGGGCACCAGAAGGATGAAGGAGGGTTAACGGGCACTCCTGCCAAATACAGAGAAAATGGGACATAAAAGAACAACTGAAAAAAACAGAAGACTGTGATTTAAAGCCACTGGTGGTATTTTGTGTTCAGTAAGCTGGCTGCTGCTGATCAATGAAAAGCTAATACAGCAGAAATACAAGGTGAAGGATAGAGAGTTGGAGATGGGGAAGCCAGAATGAAACAAGGCTGCTCTTCAGCTGCTTCAGATAAATTACTAATAACTGGCACTAAAAGAGCAGTGTAACAGCAGAGCTCCAATACTGCTGTTTACATGGCAATTGCAAGTATTTGAAATAAGTTGATTAGCTTTCATTTTACTTGGCTGTTCTACTTTTTATCATTGTACCTAGTGAAATATGCACCCTCCTGTGACACCCCTTCCCATGAAATGGTTATGGGTGACCAAGCATACTGTGAGTACATGTGTGATGGCTTGCAGAGCCAACAGGCAATCATTTAGCAATACCAGCAGTGCAGGTACAGCTGGGGGAGAGACAGCTTTAACCAAATCCAGGCTCCTGCTGGCTTTCCACTAATTTTCCAGACACTTCTTTGAAGCATCAGCATAAAGCAGAGGAGATTGGAAGGGTGTGAAGCAGCCTGTGTGTGCCTTTGACATTAGGAAGTATGCTCAATTAGGAGTCTGAACATTCTGTCTTATCATTAGCAGGGTTGCTGTGTTGAGTAATGTATTTGGTTTGCAGGGCAAGGTTTTTGTAGCAGCAAGGATACAGAGGGGGTTCTTCTGTGAGAAGCTGCTAGAAGCTTCCCCCACGTCTGATACAGCCAATGACAACCAGCGCCAAGGCTGGTTGAACTGACCACAGTCCCCATTCTTCATCTCCCTGCTCTACTTCGTGGGGATGTAGGTAGAGAAATCATGAGTGAAGTTGAGCCAAGGAAGAACGGAGTGGTGGGGAAGGTGTTTTTTTATGACTTGATTTTATTTCTCATTACCCTGCTCTGATTTGATTGGCAATAAATGAAATTAATTTCCCTGAGCTGAGCCTGTTTTGCCCATGACAGTAATTGGTGACTGCTCAGTTGGTGAATGTTCTCTCCCTGTCCTTACCTCAACCCATGAGCTTTTCATTTCTCTCCTCTGTCCAGCTGAAGAGGGGAGTGACAGAGTGGCTTTGGTGGGCACCTGATATCCAACCAGGGTCAACCCAGCACAGGTAATCTACCTGCTCCGTGATTGAGTGGAGTGAAGCAGCATTAGCTTCTTTTAGTGTGAGGCGTGCCTGCCTATGGCAGGGGGGTTGGAACTGGATGATCTTAAGGTCCTTTCCAACCCAAACCAGTCTATGATTCTATTCCATGATTCTGTTCCAGTGGAGAGCTCCGTGAACCCAGACACAGCTGTGCTGTCAGCATGATGCACAGGAATTCAGCTGCACTAGTTCCATTTAAGCTACTCCTGGACATTGTGTCAGAAGGGGAACACATGTGTGTGTACATGTGTGTTTGTATGTGAGGAGGGGGTCCACTATCCTTCTGACACCACAATACTGCTCTGAACAGCACACAGGGCAGCATTTTGTCTGGACCTGCATCACATCGTG